ACTCAAGGAGTTCAGAAAGGCTGTGCCAGCCAGAAAGTAAAGTTGGACCTTTGGTCTTCAGAAGATAGGCTTTTGTCTTTGGTTGTTTTTTATAGCCCCTGTTATTTCATGTGATGCCCCTCACACTTTCCTCCCCGCCTTTTTGTTCATTATAAAGTTTTTTCCTCCTATAATCAGATCAGTTAATAACCATGAAACTAACTTCATTAGGTGTAAAATCTATTAGAAGTGCATTCAGTGGTCCAGAATATTTTGAGAAACTATAACAACTTCTTTTCATTATGGAGCTCTTAGTACCTTTATATAGGGAAGAAATCAGAAAACTCCACAACACAACACAATCTAGTAGCACTAAGGCCACACAGCAGAAGAAAAGTTAACTGTCCCCATGTGCTCATCTCTGAAAATCAAAATAGGCAAAAACAATAGGGGCCAAAAAGCAAACTCTGAGCACAGACTACAGGGACCTAGAAGATGGGGAAAATCTACTTAACAGTCCAGTCCCCAAAGCTATTATTGTCACATTCCTGTGTGGTAACTAGTACAATTTATGAAAAAGTCACAACCTGATTATCAACATGGTAAATGAAGAGAAAGCTCATATTTTCTAGTGGCAGGTAGAATGATCCATGGAACCCATTCTATCTGCCCAATTATTCCCAAGTCTTTTCAATGCCTACTTTTACTCATATGATTTAACACATACTCCTGAAACAACAGCTCCAGATGACAGGATGGGTGGATCAGATTCATACAGGAAAGTCAGAATATTCCCTTTAAGTCTTATCCTTCTGTGTCAAAAGGATGTATCAAATTTAGATACTTACACTGGATTTAGGCCCCTTTCTGTCTGACATGGGATTCCCACCAGTGGTCTCTGTATTTACTACTGTGGAAGGTTCGTTAAAGCTCTTCTAGGCTGTGTGCGGTGGCTCATGCCTGTAATCCCAGCACTTTGGGAGGCTGAGGCGGGTGGATCACCTGAGGTCTGGATTTCGAGATCAGCCTGGCAAACATGGTGAAACCCCATCTCTAATAAAAATACAAAAATCAGCCAGGTGTGGTGGCGTATGCCTGTGGTCCCGGCTACTCAGGAGACTGAGGCAGGAGAATCGCTTGAACCTGGGAGGTGGAGGTTGCAACATGCCAAGGTTGCAGCAAGCTGAGACTGTGCCACTGCACTCCAGCCTGGGTGACAGAGCAAGACTCTTGTCACAAAACAAAACCAAAACCAAAAAACTCTTCTAGGAATGTGGGGCAGGGTAGGGAGCTGACTTTTCTTTTTTTCACCAGCCAGTTATGACATTTCCCACTTTCTTCAGCCTGATAAGGTAGGCAATGGTTTGATGTCTGACTATAAATCATGAGCCACTGGAATCAAATTTTACAAGAACTTCCAGCTCCTTGAATAACTTCTGCCTGGTTTTTCAAGGGCCCAGGGAGCCTTCCATGTAGACGCAGCACTGTTACCTAATAGTTAAGGTGCAGATGTGAAGAAATCCACATGCTTCCCTATAGAAGATGGATAGATAAGGGACTGGGGACAGAGTTCTACTGGTAGAGCAGTCTGAAGCTGCTCTAGTGGGTGACTGGAAAACTCTAAAACAGAAAACAACTCCCTGGTTTATGCTGGGAGAGAGAAAAAACACCTTTTGCATTTCTACCTTTAGCATCTGCTCCTCCAACTTTCTACCAAATTTATTTTTTGCCAACTATGGACTACACTTGAGTTTGATAATTCATCATCATCTTCAACTGTTCCTGGACATGTTGACAAATATATTTTAAGACAGCAATATACTGATAATACTAAGCCACATAATGTCATATCTGAGCTACAATAAAAAGAATCAAGTACTTTAGTTAATGGATTAATTACAAGGATTCCCTATTTATTTTTTCTGCAATTATTTTGTCCCATTGCAAATAATCTGGTACCTTGCCCGGAATAACCCCAAGGACACACACACACACACACACACACACACACGCATGCACGTGTACACTCCCGCATACCTCCAAGGAACAAAATCTTACTGTCATGAAGATTCAGTGTTGATCATCTTGTTATTCCTGCAGATTAGTGTGGTTTCTATTTCCTAACCTGCTACTAAATTACATAAAGTTTTTAAGTTATAAAATGATTCCAGGCCAAAAGGTGGTAAGTATCATCTCAAGAGTATCTCTAGTGGAGGCCTAATCACACTTCTTCGTTTCAAAAAACATTATCAGAACAACTTTAGAGCAGGCTTTTGACTTGTGTTCATCAGCCCGAGGGGGTAGTGGGGGGGAGCTGGCAGTCTGAGGGCCCTGAAATTCTATGAGCATTTTGAGTGTTCATAGACATGCTATGAGCATTTGAGAGGAACATAGTCCATAACTTTCTTAAGCTCAAAGAGACCTTGTTTTTGAATACTGAATTCAGGTCTTAGGAAATAAAAGTGAAAAATTTCTGAGACATCTGTAAATTACAGTGTTTCCATGTTCAACTAGATCTTCACTAGACCATTAATAAAGGCTTTATTGTTCTGAGCTCCATGTCCTGGAGAAAATCATTTAAGTTGTAAAACTGAGCATCTGAAGAATAGCCTAATAGGTCTCTAAAAATTTCATATATTTTTCACAAATTTACTAATGAATTTCCTTAGAAAATAACACATTCTGTCCACATAATTTACAAAAGTGGCAAATGTTCATGCATATTGAAACAGAATCATTTGTCTTTACATGTACAAAAATCAAGATGGGGAGGAAGAAAGAGCACTAGAGTATTTCTATAGAAAAGAAAGGTTTTCCACAGAAATCAGTAAGTTTAAAAACTGCATTGAAGTTTTCTATAAGAAAGATATTTTCAAAGATTTAAATCTTGGATTTAAATTACCCTTTTAAAATCAAAATATGGAATATAAGAATTTGGCTCAAACTTGTGAGATTTCAATGGGAAAAGTGTGTTATTCTAAATTTGCAAGTGTACACAACGTGTGCAATTTTTGTTTTGTTTTTTAAGTTTGCTAGCTTTAGGTTTTCTCTTGGCATACTCAAGGATCTTGCTTTTTTTTTTTTTTAATTTGGACTATGTGCCAATAAGTTAACAAAGATGAGTTAATTCCAAGAATTAACTTGTGTATGAACAGTGCCTACTTTTCAAAAGGGCTAACATGCATTCTTACTACATAAAGATACATGAATATGCATTTAAAGCAAAAGGCAGCCTATGCTGTGAATACAGAATACACAAATCTCTGCATTATGCATTTACTTATGAACCCCAATTTTTTTCAATATAAATTCACAGACCACTTTTTAACAACTCTAGGCAAGCCATTATAGTGCATTCCTATTTGTCAGATGGAATGTATGAAAAGAAAACAGAAATTAACTATTGCAGGTACACTGATAAGCCTCCAAACTCTGAGAGTTTTGTTGTTGTTTTTTTAAAGTAGCAGTAGAAAAGCAGTAAATAATTTACTTATTGAAAAGCAAAAGCTTAAAGACCTTTCTGGAGGAAACTTCTCAGAGGCCATGTTAAGGCTATTGTAAAGTCCAATTTAAATGAAAAGTTACTGTCCAAAAATCAAATAAAATGTTCAAGTCACCGTTACTGGCAGTTCAGGTTTTGGAACTGATCACAAAATTCTACCTTGCAGGCTAGGAGATCTCTTGAAGTGGCCATTAGTAGCTAGTGATAGTGCATGGTGGAAATGGTTGAAGCCTCGTGGGCAGTGATGTGGTCTCACACATATGTGGTGCCTGCAGTTCCTGTAGCTGTTTTGAAGAGGGAGGGAGAGGTAATACCTCTGCTCTAAAGCAAAGTCAGTCCAGAATGAAGGGGTCAGTGCCTCATACCCTCCACTGGGGTGAAATCCTAAAACTGCCCAAGGAAGGCAAGGGAGCCCTTGGGAGATACCAAGATCAGTGGTATTGGAAAGAACTTACAATCAGAACCTTAATGCCCTTCAATGGTGGTGTGGTGGGAGGTGGGGGGGGGTGGCGGGGAAGAATAAGAGAGCATCTCTACAAAGGAAGAACATTTCTAGCATAATTTTAAAATAAACTAAGTAAGTACCTCCCCCCTTAACCATTATGGAAAAAGTTTGGTGACCAACACACAGTTAAGCTACTTAAGTTGTAGTGACTTAGGACTTAATTATCTTATAGGATAGGATAAAAACTATAATCCTAAACATTAGCCATTGCATTAAATGGTTTAAAGGAACAACTGGGTCTGAGCTCTGCTCATCCATGCAAGGATTATACAATCTCAGTGCTCTAGCTAAATTGCTAATGTTTAATTACTATTGCACTGGTAAGCCTCTCATAGAAGATGGGTCTCTTGCATTTACACTGAAATATAACTTTCCTCTTCCACGTTATGGAAGACCTTATTTTTGAGGCAGGAGCTTAGAAGGCCTAAATTATGCACCAGAGCTTTTATTATCTGATGGCAGAACCCATGACACTCTGGTCACTATCACAATTGACAATACAAGACCCTAACTAAAACTCTAGAAATATGAGTCCTGAATGAAGTTTTGAAGATTCACCACAGAAAAAGACAAAAACCACAACACTGAATCAATGCTTTATAAAATTATTTGGGAATCCACATTTCACAGATAAATTTTTGTTCTTCATCTATTCTTCTCACTTGGGCAGAAGATGGAAGCAGTGAGCGAATAGCAATAAGGCAGCCCATAGCTAGCTGAAGAATGACTTGAAATGAATGAACAGAGGCAGCAGGAATATCCAAACATAACCTCAACACATTTAAATATTGCTTAAAATCCTCTGTGAGAATTATCAAATTAATCAAGGAATAAAGCTCATGAGAGAGTGATATTCCACATATCAAATATCTCTCTGTGTGTGCCTGTGTAATATATATGCATATCTGCATATATCTATATGGCACATGAATTTACTTAAGGAAAACAGCCTGGCAATTAATTTGCAACTCAAATGACATGGTTACACATAGATCATAATTTCTAAACACAATGTTAGTAAAACAAAATTTATTTGTAAAACAGGACCTGTTATATAAAATGGCACACAATCAAGTTATACAAAAATACAAAATTTCTTTCTGATTACAGTTCTAGTTGCAAATGATAATTAGAAAGCATTCCTGGTGGCTTCCAAATAGCTGGGACTGCGAGCATATGGAACAGGGAGCAGCAACAGTCCATGATGCAGGGATGTCCAAGTGAGTAGAACCTAATTTCCAAGTTCAGGACTTCCATCAGGTCACTTTGAAGGGACACCTCTTAAAATTGCTAGCTCCTGGAATATCTTCTGCTTTGATACCCATCTTCTAGACTTTTTGCCAATTCTAAATTTAGTTCCCAATGTTTGTGAAAGTCCAAAATCTGTGTGGCTATGAAACAGATGGTATTCTGAATTTTCTCACATGATTTGCTCTCTCATCTATTTGGACAATTGTTAGTTACATAATTATATTTGTTCCATTTCAGATGAATAAAAGAGACCGGTGATACTGTCTGGTGATACTAGATGTTAGATGTTAATCTCAGGAGAATTATTCTTTCAAAATAGCTACTCTCGCAGTGTTGGTTTCTCAGATCTTGCTAATACATGAGCTCTTAATTGTGTGTATGTGTGTGTATTTTTAAATCCAGACTCATCGCAAATATTCTGAAAAATCAGAAATATTACATGAACTTTGAAAAGAAGCCAAGGCATTTAGCAAATTTTAGCCTAGCTATAGTAAAGAACACCAATACTTAACAAAAAAAAAATACAATTTACCTTTTGCAGCAATTTAAAGGTCCAACCCTTTGAAAGGAAGCACATTAGCAAACAGCTGTTTATTAAGCCCTAGTGACATTACTTGTATGCATTTCCATAACACCAGTCTAATTCACTGTCTAGTTCTGGTAGGAGGCAATGCTTTCTTTCAAAAGATTCTCCTTCCATGGAATGATAAAATGCTGAGACTTTTTTTTGTACAGAGCCTGTATTTAGTGCAATAAGTTTAAAAAATTTGCTCTGAAATATTTACTTTACATTAACAAAAATAGCTTTTTTTAAAAAAATTGTAACAAAAAGGAGTTATCGCATAAACAGATCATGAATTATTCTTAGCAAATTACATTTTTTTTCTTAAAGCATTCACCATTACAATAAGCAGAACAATGGAATATTAGCCATTCATATCTGGTAAGCTTCGGGAATAAAAAAGCGAAAAACCCCAAACCCACCCCCAAACAAAAAAGAAAAACAAGTCACACTGGAGGATCAAAACATTAGCCAATTATTCAGTTAAACATCGTAGAACTCTGGATACTCAATGAATTGCCAAGGAGAGGAGCACCTGCCAGTATGTTTCAGATTTTATAGTAAGCATTTGAATAAAATGGCCGTTTAACCCTAAGCCACTGACGTTCCTCTGAGGCAGAAACCCAAGCACCGGAATTTTCAATGCTTTATGTTCCATGTTTCTGTCCCTTCTTTATTCCTCCCAGCATTACTTAATCTGCAAATCAATACACAGAAACTTAAAGGCTAAACTCGCTGGCTGCCCCAGCTTCCTTTCAAATCAGGCACACAAATGTGTGGAGGATGCTACCAAAGTCAAAAAGGAAAGAAAGACAAAATATAAGGAAAAAGTTTGCATACGAAAGATTATCTACCCTTTTCTTTTTTTACCTACTTTCTTTTATAGAAGCGTTAGGATAAACTACAAATACCTGAGGAGTTGGTTACCTTTTAATGTTGGCTGACAAATGTATGAACTATTATGAAAATTCCCATATTGGGCCCACTTGTATGTTTCTAAAAGTAAAATGACATGGCTTCTTTGATTGGGGAAAACTGATTGGAGTAATTCCTTATTTATCTGAAAGCATATGCCTAGCCTAGTCTTGACCCACTAGGACTTATGCATCAGTAAAATAAGATCTTGATTTTATACACACATCAGGGAAATCACCCCTGAATAAACTTTAGACATAATTTGGTACAATAATTTTACCTAATTTTAAATAACTATAGTTAAAATCTCCTCTAAGTTCTTAAAAATGTTAATCAGATATGAATTTTAACATTTCCATTAAGACAATTACATTTGAAAACATTAAATGACGGAAGTTGCCTTGTAAAAGCCACCCGTATGAAAGGAGTACATGTTTGACAAAAATAAGCATAAAAAAGGTATTAAATCCCTGTTCCTTTTCTCTGATTTTGGCTGATTTATGTGTGTGTGTGTATATACATATACATATATATACACACATACATATACATATATACACACACCCACACACACAAATACATAGTTATGTGTATATATTGTTTTGGAATGTCAATGGATTTCCATAACCGTCGGCTACGTTCAAGCAGAACTTGCTCCCGAAGCCTAGAAAACAAAGTCATACAGAGTATAATCTTAGATGATTACCATTAAAAGGAGATCATGAATGATGTTACAAATATACACATGGTCACAAACAGCAAGAGGGCAAAATGGACTGAGAATCCTTCTCCTCTGAATTCCTAGAGCTGAAATTCTTATGAATGTTGAAAGTCACGCTTCCGCCAGGATCATCTCTGAGATACACAGAGCATACTTCTCTAGCCCATGTTTCTACAGTGTCTAGGATTTTTCTTTCCTTTTCTCTTTATTACCTATATGATAGCAAGCAGACAGTCAGAAAATCTCTTTCCTAAACCTCTTTATCACTTTTGGTACATTTTTCTAAAATCTCTTTCAAAGAATCATAAAAAAAAAATCATCAGTCTTTAAAGTTTTCTTAACTAGCCTCTCTAAAGGAAAAGTTCAAGAACAAAACTGGAAGTTCTCACATTTAGTTCAATAATCCCCCATCAAAAGAAAAATACAAAGCCTCATTTTACTGAACAGTATTTTATAGGCTAAAAATGAAGCCTAAATTAAAACATTCCATTGAGCGAATTCAAACAGCAGCAATGTTTCTAGAGTGACTGCAAAATAGGCATGATTCTCTTTTATAGAACTTTCAACTACAGCAACAATATGTGAATTATATCAAGCAAATACAATATATATTTGCTATAAATATATAAGCAATCCTAAATTCTACCAATTCCCCAAACTCTCAGTAGAAATTTCTCAGATAGTTTTTTAGAAACACATGCAAGGGAATGGTGTTAGTAGGGGCCAACTCTAATCATGCATACTGTGAAAGAGAAAAAAGAAAGAAGGTACTGAGGTGCTGAAAACAAAAAATTACTCTGTGAGCAGCATTTCACACTTGTCTTCTGGGAGATTTTTTTAACCATTTAAAATATCATTCTTAGGGACCAATGCTACAATGTCCAAAGCACCTGAACAATGCACACAGATGTATTTTGGGATACAGCAGAGGGTTTTTGCCATTCATCTGCAAGCAATGAACTGATGAACAACATAAAATGAAAGCAAAAATTAAATGAAGATTTTAATGCATTATTGGAAGTAAGGGACACTGTATTTCAAACTGAAAATACTAATAGGAAAAAACTCTTTCTAAAATACTTGGCATCTGATAGAATGCCACATAACCTGGGCAATTCTCCCAGGATTATTACCTATAAATTAGGAGTTTAGGTAAGGAAGGTATACTTGCATTCTGATCTCCTAAAATTCATCTACTATTTATTAAAGAATACTACAGAAATCTGTGCCAGCTCATGGCCAAATAACCTAGTCTTGAAATATTTTTCCCTTTCTTTAAATGCTTATTACTGAATGATGTAAAGAAAGTTTCAATCACTGGAAAAACAGAAAAGTGGGGAAAGCTTGGTTTATATTTTAGGATTTCGTATGTCTTTTTAAGTTTTGGGCTTGGAATCCATTTGCTGAACAATTAGGACTACCAAGCAGTGGAAGAAAGGAAGTCTTCCTCATTTCTCCATGTTGCCACAGGGTTGGCAGAATCTCCACTGCTGCCCTCCTCAGTCTTTGTGAAGTAAGAGGGATACAGAAGGTGTGTGTGTGGGGTTACGGTGGGGGCGGGCATGGAACCTGACTGGAAGTATTTCTGGTGAGCTCCCATCTGCCCAAGCAATCGATGTCTGGGTGATGCAAACTTAAAATTCAGAGCTATGTGGGTACTAGCATGATCTGTGCTCTGGGAAGCTAAACATTTAAATTTGATTTTATAATTATTTAGGCTACTAAGTAAGAGTTAACACCAAAATAGGCACTGGCAGGGGCTATAGAGGAAAGGGTTTATATCTAAATATTTTATTGAGGTTTTAACTTAGGTTGAATATACAATTAGTTTACCTCCCTGCCTCCCTCCATAAATAAACCTATTTCCTTTACTCTTACTAAATGAGCTTATTTTATACCACATATTTTTAAGTTGAAAACCTATAAATCAGGGGTATCCAGTCTTTTGGCTTTTCCAGGCTACCCTGGAAGAATTGTCTTGGGCCACATATAAAATAAAATAAGGATAGCTGACGAACTTAAAAAAATTGCAAAAAAATCTCATAATGTTTTAAGAAAGTTTACAAATTTATGTTGAGCTGCACTCAAAGCCTTCCTAAGCCATATGTGACCCACAGACAGTAGGTTAGACAAGCTTGCTATAAATAAAATCATTTATTAAAGTGTAAGGAAGACAGAAAGGAAATTTCTTACCTCACACTTTTTAACATTAATGTAGTCAGGGGCACATTGTTTAAAATTAATTATTTAAGGATGTAGACAATTATGTAATATTTGAAAATAAACAGGCTATTTTTAAAATAATGTTTTTATGTTTAACAGTGTTTAAATTAGAAGTAATTAGACCGATATATGATAGAGGCATCTGTTGTTACGATATAGTGACAATATCCACAGGAAAAGCAGCTCAAGATTCTCTTACGCTCATTAAGCTGCTTTTTTCAAATCAAAGTAGAGAGATATATTTGTGTATATATACATATATATAATATCAATGACTAGAAATAATATATCCATCTCATAATTAAACTGGGAAAAGACTAGATTGTCTAACTGAATGGGAATGTGAGTACTAATGAAAACAGCCTTGTTTGTTACTGAAAAATAGCTTAAGGAACAAAGTACAATCCAGGCAACAGAAGGAAAAGGCAGCCAAGGGAAAAGGACAGCAATGTAAACAGAACAATATCTTTTAAAGGGAGAGTATGAATTTTAGCAAGTTGAAAGGAATTGCTATGATCACCTTCCAAAATGATAAAAAATCAAACCGTCAGTTCAAGTGTACACCAAAATGTTCAGTCTGATGAAAGCCAAACACTGACAGTTAAAAAGGAAACAAGAGCAACAGCAGTTTTACCTTAGGGACAAAACTATCATCCCCAACCCCCCGAGCACTGACAAGGATGCTGTTCCTTTCAGCTTACTTTTACAGAAGGTGGTCTCAGTTGTGACAAGAATTCTGCCATCCAAGTGATGGGTAAGCACACAAACAGAAAGAGCAGCACGTCCTGCGTGATACAGATAACAAAAGCTTCTCCTGAAGAAGTGCAGTCAGTGAAGACAGAGAGAGAGAGGAAGTGAAAGTGAAATTCTTGGAGGGTGGCCACCTCCTCATCTCCACCTACCATCGGCTTTAGCTCTCTGGCATCAGCGACGCCTCCCTTACCAGCTTCTTTCATTGCTTTCCTACTGTTTTCCACAAACTCCTGCAAAACATGGACCATACTGCATAAATTCTTGGGTCCTTTCAGATTTGCTAGTAGATAAATTCTAAAGAACATTTACATTTTTGACTCAATCTTGGTAAATGAATGGCCTAAAAACATAGCAATAAATAATGTTTAGTATCACACATGAGAGCTACTAAATTTTGTAGGAATGAATTGCAATCTGCTGATTCAAATAATCTTCTTTCCATCCATTCATTGTGACAATCTTACTAAGGCTCCAAGAGATAATGTTAGTTCTATCTGGAAGAGAAAATACCTAACATTTTAAAGAGGCTATTTTCTCGCACTCAGAATATCATTTTATTTGCTGTTTTATTTTTTTCTATATCAAGGTTTAATGAAACAAGATTATGTTACTCCATAAGCCTCCACTTTTAAATAACCATAGAAGGTAAAAGAATGCATTGATATTGCTAAGCACATAATGCTTTTGTTTTAAAACCAAGCAAATCATAAACAAAGTACTTTTTTTAAATGTCAATCTGACCATGACATTACTTCATAAAGCAGGAAGACAGGGTATATCAACCAGACCTATGGTTAGCTGTAGTCGAAATGGGAATATGCCCCAAGGAAACATTTCTGTTCTGTCAATGTTTATGGAGCACTTCTTTATTAAATACCCTTGCCATTCCTACAGAGAAAACTGAAGGGTGGAAAACAGTATTTTTACTCTGCTTTTGATCAGTAACTCAAAAAACAGTAACACCCTTCTAAATGCTTTAATCACAAAAGAAATGCAATACTCATGATCAAATTCTATTAAGAAAAAACCAGTTAGAATTAGTTTAGACATTAAGAAAATGTCCACAATTTAGCTGATGTCAGAAAAAGAAGAAATCAGTGCCAAATAGGTCAGCTAAATCATTTGGAATTTTTGCCATCGGAAAAAAAAAATCTAGGCTGGGCACAGTGGCTCATGCCTGTAATCCTAGCACTTTGGAAGGCTGAGGCGGGCAGATCACTTGAAGTCAGGAGTTTGAGACCAGCCTGGCCAATATGGTAAAACCGAGTCTCTACTAAAAATTAGCTGGGTGTGGTGGGGCACGCATGTAATCCTAGCTACTCAAGAGGCTGAGGCAGGAGAACTGCTTGAAACTCAGGAGACAGAGGTTGCAGAGCTAAGATCACGCCACTGCACTCCAGTCTAGGTGACAAAGCAAGACTCCATCTCAAAAAAAAAAAAAAAAAAGAAAGAAAAAAAATCTAGCTGATTTATTAATATACTTATTTTAGATTTAACTGGATAAAATATGCTCCTGGTAAATGACTTGTTATTTCAATGTATAATGCTTAGTATTTATTATTACTCATTTTTGAGATAGAAATATTTCATAGCTTAATAGCAAACTACTATTATTTAGAAAAGCATCTTTACTTTGGTAACATTTAACATTAATTATAATGGTACTTAAACCATTTAATAAGGTTTTCAAATTTTTAAAAAATTTTCTGCACATAATATCTGTGTAAAGGTTTAGATCTTGACTAATAAAAAACAATGCACTCTATCAGTCATGGGTCTGTTAACTGTATTCATCACAAAATGCTTTCAATTTGGCCTACCATATTTAAGATGATGAGTTTTGACCAGGGGTGATAGCAGTAACGTTTGGGGCAGTGGTAGATAGAGAAAGACAGGAAGGCACTAGGACCTGGGAAACAGGATATCTTGTCTTTGAGCCCCATTTCAGGAAAAGGCACACAGAACATCAGTAGCCCAGTTTTCCAATTCAAGGTCTAGAAGCTAGTTTAAAAAGTCAATTCAAATCTATCTAACTGCAGAGAGAGGGGCAGCAGGAAGAGCATGAACTTAGGACTATTAACAAGTACTGCTCTAGCTAATTGGATCTGAAATGATCTTGTCCATGCCAAGACACCTTCTTCCCTCACTTACCCAAGATTAACCTCATTCATGAGTGAGTGCTACTGGTTTAATTCTAAATTACTCAACTGCATATAGTGCAAATTAAATATAGAGAATGTTCTGTAAAACATTTTTATCCCTAAAATGGGAAAGGGCATTTGAAGTACTTACCATCAGCACTTTATCCATATAGAATTCCCTGCCAGGGCTTCCATCGTTGTATTTTGTATCAATGGCAAAACACAAGAATAATACATCCACTACCATTTCGTAAATAGACAGGAAGCAATGAGCGACTAGGAAAGCAAAGAGGCAGACGATGATCAGAGGCAGCACCCATACTGTGTAGTCCTGCTGGTAGTTGAGCAGCATAATCCCAGCTAAACCTGTGCTGCAGACTATCAGCACCTGAAGCAGAGAGAACAAAGATCACATTTAATGTCCTACTGGAGAAAACCACTGTTTCTTCATCATTTGCAGACTTAAAAATTCTCTTCACTATTTATAAACGATGGTTGCATGAGGCCACTCCATCACAAATAAGGAAATATAATCCGCATATTCCCATATACACACAGAGTATACATGCTTATCATATACATTTTAAAATCATACTTTAAATGATTCTGGTTTAAAGATAATCAAGTTTTTCAAGTGTGCTCCCCTAAAACTTAACCTATTTAGAATCTGTGGCAACTTTTAAGATAAATGTATGAATATTTTAGTAAAAATTTGCACACTCTTAGCACTCAGAAAAGATTGATATTTCAGTGTAATGTTATGCATTTTTTTCTAAGCATTTTCATATATATGAAATAGTATTATATAAACAAATAACTATAAGCTTTTCATTAATATTTATAGAAGTTTCATTATAAATGCTTCATAAATATTTACTCAGCTACATAATTTCATTTTGTGAGTGATTTAAAATACATTTAATCATTCTCTTACTGTTGGAGATTTATACTGTTTTCAGATATAAATAATGCTGCAACAAACATCTATAGTCTTAGAACTTTTTCTGTGTTTCGTATTTTATTTCACATAGAATATGTGGTAAATTTAAAATAATTTGCCATGAAGTATATATTTGGACTCTCTGTGAAGAGGTTGCCAAAAACATCCATGCTAAAACAATAAAAGAAATAACCAATTTAGTTATTGTCAAGAACCACCTACTCTGATGCTTCATCATTTCACATGCAGCATTTTAAAATTTTTGTGGTTTTTAAAATACATTTTATTCCAGCTTTTCAATAATCCTATGAATGGTTATTGCATATATTATCATCCCATTTTATAGACTGGGAAACAAACTTAGAGATGCTAGCCGACCTGAGTTGAAGAGTAGATCCAACGTCAAGGTCAGGAGAGTAAAAAAAAGAGTAGATCCTACAAAAATAATGGTCTTATGTTGTCAACCCCAGTGCTCTTTCTAGATAAAAACTCAGCAAATATTTGGATATTGATTGATACACAGCAGTAATGGATTGTACTGAATTCTAGAGACACTCTTACCTAGTCCTTTACTTTGTCTTATATAAGGCCTTAAGTCAAGAGAAAAGAGAGACCTCTAGAATCATGGCAGCCTCTTCTTGTCTAGTGCTAAGACTGATAATTCTTCGTTGGCATTTTCTCCAATATTTGTCATCATCAAAGCATTTTTCATTCACCATTATCTTAACCCAGAGTTAAATGCATTAGATGATACATTGGTTCAGCTATAAATTGATCCCTCTCTCAGATGAGACATTGGTTAAGCTATAAATTGCTTTTATGGAACAAATCTGGGTCCACCGAAGTTTTGGAAGGCTTCTCTACTATTTTTTTTTTTTTTTTTTTTGAGACAGAGTCTTGCTCTGTCGCCAGGCTGGAGTGCAGTGGTGCCCTCTCGGCTTACTGCAACCTCCACCTCCCAGGTTCAAGCAATTCTCCTGCCTCAGCCTCCCAAGTAGCTGGGACTACAAGCACACGTCACCACACCCAGCTAATTTTTGTATTTTTAGTAGAGTCGGGGTTTCACCATGTTGGCCAGGATGGTCTCGATCTCTTGACCTCGTGATCCACCCGCCTTGGCCTCCCAAAGTGCTGGGATTACAGGCGTGAGCCACCGTGCCCGGCCTTCCCCACCATTTTTGTAGCAATACACTTATAAATCTTCTCTTATAGTGACATATTTTCTGGGGTTATTTCCATAGATGGTTAATTACTTCCATTTTCTTTTTCTTTTCTTGGAGACAGAGTCTCGCTTTATTGCCCAGGCTAAAGTGCAGTGGTACAATCTCGGCTTACTATAACCTCTGCCTCCTGGGTTCAAGTGATTCACCACTTTAGCCTCCCAAGTAGCTGGGACTATAGGCACCAGCCACCATGCCTGGCTTTTTTTTTTTTTCTATTTTTTAGTAGAGATGGGGTTTCACCATGTTGGCCAGGCTGGTTTTGAACTCCTGATCTCAGGTGATCCACCTGCCTCGGCTTTCCAAAGTACTGGGATTACAGGTGTGAGCTACCATGCTCAGCCATTACTTCCATTTTCTTCCACTCTCCTGGTTGCAATTTTATAGTGAATAATAACTACACTATACTCTGCAGATATTACACATCCACCCTATTGAAGGGCTGAGGTTCTTCATGCTCTTATCATGCCATTAAAAATTAAGCCCCTTTGAAATGGTAAAATTAGTTATAGAAAGAAGGTGTGGCTCAAACAAACTAGCTATTGAGACAAAAAGCTGGTGAGATGGAAGGTTAGATATTGCCATTTGAGGAACAACTTCAAAAATTAGTGATGTTTTGCCAAAAAAAAAAAAGTAGTAGTTACTCCTAAATATACTGAAAGAGTATCATGCACTTATTCAAGTAGATACACGAATGGTTCTCAAACTGTAGAAAGGCTTAGAATGCAGATTCCTGGGCCCTATTCCCAGAGTCTGGTTGGTTGGATCCAAGATAAAGCCCAGTAGCTGACATTTAAAAAGTATCCCAGGTGCTGATAAAGCCTATGTCTCAAGAAGTACTGGTGCGTATCAGTCATCTCCATGGTGGAGTACACACATCCTAGGGAGTATTGTTAACAGGATCACCTGGGACTTCCATTATATTTCTCATACATTTAAAATGTCTTCTTTAGTATGCTTTATAAGGCATATATTAGTAACAACTGTATGTGTGTGTGTGTGTGTATATATATATATATATATATCATAGATAAACAAATATAAATATATTGAACAGCCAAGATCGAACTTTTATCTTAATAGGGCACATGACTTTAGAAGTTAAGACATCCCTTCCTGAACATGATGGCTTGCACCTATAGTTCCAGCTACTTGGGTGGCTGAGGCAGGATGATTACTTGAGCCCAGGACTTCAAGACCAGCCTAGGCAAACAGCAAGTTTCCATCTCAAAAAAGAAAAAAAATTAGACATGCTAGAGGATAAATTCTTGAAAATACAGTAGAAGAGATTCACACTTTGGGGAGGATGTGTGAAGCAGGAAGGAAAGGATGCTACTTTTGGAGTCAGAAAGACGTAGATTTGAATTACAGAATTAGTACTTAGTTTTGTAACTCTATGCAAGTTCATTGAACCATTCTGAGCCTGTTTTTCCATCTTTACAGAGACATAATAATAGATGCATCCCATGATTGTTAAAACAAGCATTCTAAAAGTATTTAATGCAATGCCTGACAATGCTTCTCCCTCCCACCCTTTCTTTCTTTTTTTGCTATCGTAAGGGCAACATTTACGATGCCTTTTCCCCAGAAAACCTACATTTTGAAAGATATCGTTTACCAACAAAATCGCATTTGTAAGTAACAATTCATATTCTCAATTTTATTAATCCAAGTCGAATAAATTGTCAACTAGAAGATATAATTAGTGTGAGAAAAGATACTACCAAATAAAGGTAAAATAATTTCACACAGAAGCAAAGAAATTTGAGATTTTGAGGGGTTTTCAGATAGCTTTATTAGGACAAATATCTATACTTAAAATATTTAAATTAGCTTTAAATTTAAAATAAATATCTATTTTTACCTTTAGGAACCTATCGGCCAGTGACTATGTTTCAAGTCACTAAACTGGAAGAGCTAAGATCCCCTGCAAATCTAATTCACATTCCATAAAAACGTTAGGGTACCATAGAAATGGAACCCATAATGATGTCTTTTAGTTTTCCTTTTTAAATTCAGAGTTTTAAAAATTGAATTTAAAATTTTGAGGTAATTACAAATTCACACGCAGTTGGAAGAAACAGTAGAATGCTTCCATGTACCTTTTACCCAGTTCCCTTCAATGTTAACATCTTGCAAAACTATAGCATAATATAACTATAGCATGTGATATCAGTAGATATTACAACCATGATATTGACATTGATATTGCGAAGATGAACAGTATTATCTATCATCACTGGAACCCTTCGCTTTGCTATTTTATAGCTATTTCCCCTCCTCCCCAACCTGATTTCTAACCACAAATCCATTCTCCATTTCCATACTCTTGTCATTTCATTTTTTTCTTTTTGAGAAAGAGTCTTGCTCTGTCACCCAGACTAGAATGCAGTGGTGTGATCACAACTCAATGCAGCCTCTGCCTCTGGGCTGAAGTGATCCTCTCACCTCAGCTTCCTGAGTAGCTGGGAATAACATGCCTAGATAAGTTTTATATTTTTTTGTAGAGATAGGGTTTCGCCATGTTAGTCCTGGATTCCTAGGCTCAAGAGATCTACCCTCCTTGGCCTCCCATAGTGCTGGGATTACAGGCGTGAGCTATGGTTCCCAGCCTTGTTGTCATTTCTACAATATTATATACATGGAATTAATCTTCCGGGATTCAATTGTTTTGCTCAGCATAATTCCCTCAAGATTCATTCAAGTTGCTGTGTATATGAACAATTCATTTCTGGCATCATGTCTTATAATGTTTACTATGATCTATTAGTTGAACTACCTGATTAGAAACAAATTCTGTATACTAGCAGTCATTTAATTATAATGAAAGAAAAACTAAAGAACATTTATCTTAAAATGTTAGAAATCCAGAAGATTTCTTTTCCTCTTTTTGAAATGTTTCAATTAAAAAATGTATTTATCTTTTATGGTTATTAAAGTCATTTGAAATATTATAAATATTACATTATTAAAAATATATCTTTCTGGAAAGCAATTTGGCAATGCACAATCAAGAACCCTAATCAATTGTAATTCCAGGATTCTGGCCTCAGGAAATAAATATTGATGTGGGCAAGATTTATATACAAATATAAGCTTTAGGTTAGTAAAAAACAAAACAGCTCAACTGTAAAAACAAGAAACCTGAAGATTGATTAAATAAATGACGATACAACAGTTGTATAACCATAGTTAGAAAAGTTTTAATAAAACAAGAAATGTTCATAATGTAATACCAAGTGAAAAGAGGGATACAAAACTGCCATTTCTACTAGTTTTTTTTTTTTTTTTTCTGAGATAGAGTCTCACTTTGTTGTCCAGGCTGGAATGCAGTGGTGTGATCTCGGCTCACCGCAACCTCCGCCTCCTAGGTTCAAGTGATTCTTGTGCCTCAGCCTCCAGGTATCTGGGATTACAGGTATGCACCACTACAACTGGCTAATTTTTATATTTTTAGTGGAGATGGTGTTTCCTCATGTTGGCCAGACTGGTCTTGAACTCCTGACCTCAAATGATCCGCCCACCTCAGCCTCCCAAAATGTTGGGATTACAGGCATGAGCTATCGCTCCTGGTCCTCTACTAGATTTTAAATTATATGTATTAATCAGTATATAACCAGAACCTATAATAGTCCTAACCATATTATTAGTAGGCACTCTATAAAGATATTAATAAAATAATATGATAAAGAAAAAGTTTTGACAGGTCACTAGGCTGCTGAAAAAATGCCAATTTTAGAACATTGTCCTTTATCATCTTTATATTTTCCTTATTTATTTATTTGAGACAGAGTCTCACTCTGTCACCCAGGCTGGAGTGCAGTGGTGCGATCTCAGGTCACTACAACCTCTGTCTCCTATCTCTGTCTCCTGGGTTTAAGCAATTCTCCACCTCGGCTTTCTGAGTAGATGGGACTACAGGTGCCCACCACCAAACCTGGCTAAGTTTTTTTGTTTTGTTTTTTTGTTTTGTATTTTTTAGTAGAGACGGGGTTTCACCATGTTGGCCAGGCTGGTCTCCAACTCCTGACCTCAGGTGATCCACCCACCTCGGCCTCCCAAAGTGCTGGGATTACAAATGTGAGCCACCGCACCCAGGCCATCTTTATATTTTTCATTAAAAAAAGAATGCACACTCAATATAGAGAACATTATCATACTATCGTAAAGTGGGGTAGGGGTTTGGAATCATCTATATTTTCAATATCCAAAGGTAATCATTATTAATAACTTGAAATATTCATTTCTACTCTTTTTCTTATGTACATTTTTAAACACTACTAAAGCCTGGTAGTTTTACTTAGCTTTTTCATTTATTACATTATATGCATTTCTTTGTACTATAAACTCTTAATAAAAAACATGGCTTAGTAGGTGAATATCAGTCTGTTGACTATTATTCCAACCATTTCTCTATTGCTAGGGTTCAGATTGTTTACAATTGGTCGCTATAATGCTGTATTTGTTTGCAATTAGTATTACCAGGAATGGCTTACTATTGACTCAGAATTACTGTGTCAAAGGCTTAAAAAAAAAAAAAAAAAGACCCACGGGCAAATTTAATGTCAGTAGAGGCAATTACAGCACACAGTGATTAGTAACTTAGAAGTCATATAGACCTGAGTTTGAACTGCCACATCATTCTAGTTGTCTAAATTTGGTCAACCTAATTTGTTCTCTAAACTTTATTTTACAGTAGAGGAAACCAAAGATAACACCAGTAGCTCACCTTACAGGGGAAGACCATATGTAACACTTAACAAAAGCCCTTCACTCAGTGCCAGGTATCCAAAGTATCTTAATCAGGGTTTACTAAAATCATCATCATCAAATATTGCCACTTAGTATCTCCCTTAGTTCTCTAAATGGCTTCTTATTTCCCTTTTTAAAAATTGCTGTGTGGGGCCAGGTGCGCTAGCTCATACCTGTAATCCCAGCACTTTGGGAGGCCAAGATGGGTATATCACAAGGTAAGGAGTTCAAGACCAGCCTAGCCAACATGGTGAAACCCCTGTCTCCACTAAAAATACAAAAATTAGCCAGAGATGGTGGCGGCCACCTATAATCCCAGCTGCTCAGGAGGCTGAGGCAGAGAGCTGCTTGAACCTGAGAGGCAGAGGTTGCAGTGAGCTGAGATGGCACCACTGCACTCCAGCCTGGGCAAAGAGTGAGACTACGTCACCATCACCAACAAAAAAATCACTGTGTGTATGTGTATATACATATATATGCTTTTATTCTAAGTTGCTTCATATCTTTCCTTAGCTGTAGGGATAGATTATAAATAGGTAAACAAAAATAAAAATAAAGACTGTGAAGTATTTCTGAATCAGCTGTAGAGAACCTATCCACTTCACCGTACACAATGCTATGCTTCTCCATGCCAAACATACTTTCTTTACAAAAACACTTAAAAAAGACAGTTGGCTAGAACAACCTAAGTGTTCAATAGTAAGAGAACGTTTAAAAATACTATTTGGTGGATATTTACCATGGTAATAATGAGTAATTGTGAAAATTATCAAAGCAAGATGAAAAATAAATATGGATGTACTATAAAGAGAAATGGGCAGAACAAACAGGTATGTATGCTGTGATTGTTATACTATAGAGAAATACAAGCCAATAAAAAAATGGAAAGAAATATATAGAAATGATACATTATTCAGTTATAGTGGTGATAGTATAAGTCCTTTTCTTTCCTCAATTAAAAAAATTTTCTGAGTATTTTATGGTTTTAAGTTCAGATACAATGAAATCTAATTATGTTATTGAATATTTTGCAGTATTTTAATAGTATAGAATAAATTGCCTCTTGTTCGACACTTCTAAGGAAAGTATAAGTCTCATTCTTTTACGGCTCTATTTTAAAGGGGCTTTACATAATACTATAATAATAATCATCATGACAACTGACATACATTGAGAACTTAAAATGTGTCAGGCACTCTCCTAGATACCCTACATGTATTAACCATGCATTAACCTCACGACCCTACAAGTTTGGCACTATTATATTCCAGTTTTACAGATGAGCAAACTGAGGCCCAGAGTAATTATCTACCCTGCCCAGGTCACACAGCTATCAGTGACTGAGCCAGAACCGAAATCCAGGCAGTCAGGCTCCAGCTGCAGTACCACTAACCACAAGGAAGACTATTTCATAATTCTTTACATTTCGAAATATGTAAAGAGAAGGATGAGCACATGACTTAGCCTCTCCAGGTCTGAGTTTCCCTATCTGTAAAATGAGGATAATAATGGAATTTACCTTAAAAATTTATTGTGAGGATTAAATGAGCACAATGTATGTCAAGTGCTTATAACAATGCTAGACACATAGTAGGGGCTTTCTAAGAACCTGCTATTTATTACTTTTAGTTTCTGGTAGGCTGGATATTTTTAAAATAAAAGAGCAAATATATATGTAAAAATTACTGTATGTTGCAGACAAAATACTTGGTCTTACCTTGCCTAGGAACAACATAAAATCTCCCACTGTGTTGATGGTAGCCACTCGCAAAGCATTCTCCACCAGAATGACAAAGGCATCCTTTGCTGAGGTGCAGAAGTTGGTGCTGTTGATAGCTGTGGCTGTGTATGCATTCTGGACAAAAGCAAAAACAGCATTTTCATCAAAAACTGAACTTCTTTTGTTAAGATATAAACTGAACACAGCTAAAACATAGCTTAAAAATATTTCAGTCAAACATATGGCACCCTTTAATGAGGTGAAGATTGAGACTGAGTACAAGAAAATATGACTTAAAACCTCACATGGTAAAAATAACTTTCCATTTGGCTTCATTTTGTTCCTTTAAAAACACTGTTATTTATTAAAACATACACAAACCTTTCTAACATCCATTAACTTCTTCCCTGTCTTAGTAAATCAAACATAATTTAATCTTTCCTAGATGCCTCAGGGTCGTGACTGTGAACATCAGCAGTGCAATGTAATCATTTCAGTGATGCTTTAAAAGCTGAAGAGGTAGGCGTGGGCATCAGATTGCTATGCTGTTTTATCTGGAAAATCCACTATCTCCTCCTTGGTGGCTTTCTTCTATGCTCTCACTTCTCACAGCTCTTGTAGTACACAACTCTTTAATGGCTGGCATTTTATACCCCTCCTCTTCCTGGGAGCAGAACCCTAAATCTTATTTGAGGAAACAGCCTTACCCCATTTCCTGTGTCGGTCCCAGTGAGACTGTTACTACCTCGAGCTCTGGGGATGGGTCTTGACATAAGCCAATTAGCATACTCTACCTACTGGCCACAATGATTGGTTCAGAATTGGTGAATAAACCAATCAGAGTCAATGAAAGCAAAAGTGATATTCCCTGGGGCCTCTGGAAAAAAGAGGCTTTCTTTCTCTTCCATAGGTTCTCTGGAAAGGTGTGAGGGTATGAACGACTATAGCTCTTTGGCTAACAAAATGAGAAGAGCTGCTGAAGGTCACAGTGTAAAACTGAGGGTGAGACCAACACCATGAAATCAGAGCAGGGAGAACCAGGTACTTTGCCTTGCTGACAACTGGGACATTGGGAACTTGCCAGATTTCTAACTTTTCAGTTATAGAAGCTAAAAAATTGTTAAGAATCCCAGCTCTTCCCTGCTCCACTTTCGTCTCCCTCTCCCCTTTTCTCTCTCTCTCCCTTGTTCAGGCCAGATTGAGCTGAGCTTTCTGTTCCTTAAAATACTGAGTTCTAGCGGATACACTTTCATTCAATTATACCTGCTTCTGCTGCCCCATGTGCTCTTTGACCTACTAGTCATAGACTGATTTTTTTCCATTCTTTTTTATGTTACATTCTAGAACAGCATTGATGTTTTCTGGGAAATGTGAAAAAGAATTATAACATCAAATATGTTTGAGTCTTAGGAAGGCAAAGTGTATGAACTTTGTGACTAAAACTTTCAGTCCTGAGGAATTCTGGGTTTAGTGTTGACTTAAACTGTCGCTGGGTCCCAAATGTTGGGATTGCTGGGAAACTGTTGGAGATAAAGGACTTACTTTACACTGTGCTGTCTATAAAGCTTTAACCACTGAGCCCAGGAGAGATAGTCTACAATTTATGGATCTAATTATAAGCTTGTTAGTTATTAGGAGTCTGAAATGAAGATGAGGTTTGAGTTATCAAAAAAATTTAACTTGCCATTATATGATTAAATTCATTGATTAAAAATGCAGGACATTTCAGAGCCAAAGAGAGTACTGTACTGAGCAGGACACTACCTATGGTTCTTAAGCTTTTTCCAGTAATGGGGCAGTAGGAAATAAATTACGGTGCTCTCTAAGAAATACAGTATGATTTTGGTATATAGAATTCCATCATAAAAATTGGGGAAGTTTATTATCATCAGAATATATTACTATATTATGTTTACAAGTCTTTTTATTGCAAAAACTAAAATACAGAATATTTTAAAGAACTCATACTAAGTGCTTCTGTTAGCATCTACCTGCTTTTTGCTCCTTTACATTGCCTTCTGCCAGTGCTTCTTATCAGATAAACAATAGCAGGTACCACAGAGTGAACTAACTGCAGTGCTCCAAGTTTTTTTTTTTTATATTCTACAAAAGCTTCTTTTGAAATACTCTGCCAAGTGCCTCAATGAAGTAAAAATAAACTATACTTTTGATCTTGTGTAACATTAACCTTGCTGAAAAACGATAAAGAAGAACTGCCCCAGTCAGCTCTATTCTCAAAGAACACAGATTGGTTTTCAGTTCTCACCAGTTCCCTAAGTACTCACAAAAACACTAAGTTAACAATTTATTCGAGAGCAGGGGCGGTCAACCTACCACCTGCAGGTCGTATCTGACCTGCCAATTCCTTTTGTAAATAAAGTTTTACTGGCACATAGCTGTGCTCATTGTTTATATATTGTTTATGGCTGCTTTCATGCAACAGTGATGGAATTGTGCAGCCGTGAAAGATCCTGTGTGGCCCACAAAGCTAAAAATACTATCTCTGGCCCGTTACTGAAAAAGCTTGCTGCCCTCCTGTTCTATCTAGAGTACTGCTAAGGATTAATATCAACCTCATCTACTGTATGTGGAACCCACCCTCTCATTGGAAATACAAACCACATGTGCTCATTTCAAGTTTTAGTAACTTCCTCCACAATCTCCGATCTTTCAGCATCTTTCACTGTAATTCTTCAGTTAAACAATATAATTGATAAAAGTCTTCAGTGATCTGGGATCTGACTCCTTTGAAGAGAAGTACCTTATTTCCCACATTCTAAGATCTCATCAAGAGACTAATGAGCCAGTTATTCATAACAAGTTTTCAGAAGAAAATATCCTACCATATTAAATATACATATTGATTATGAGATGCATCCTGATGCTAAACAGTTTCATAATGTCTAGAATCAAGGAAATTGGATAACGCATTTAAATCAGCTAGGTACTAGCTTATGTCCACTCCCACCCCCAGTAAGGAACAACTCACTCTTAACTACAGTGTTCTGCCCTTTCCAGTTCACCATGAATTTCCTTGAGACAGAAGCAAGAGAGGACCCACGTATCTCCATTCTCTCTCCTGTGTTATCATCAGACCAGATGATTCGAGAAAGCCCAACACTTCTAAACTACACTATAAAAGCTTTTTTATCTCCCTCATTAATTTTTAGAAGCTTCCTTTCATTTGAGAATTATAATTATTCCTCTTTTGCTTTCTTCTTATCACCCTGCCCTGCTCCATTCCATCTGCTTTTAGGGCAGAAGTCTATTTGTTTGTAGATAAAGAGGCAGTGATAATTTCTTTTCTCCGCCCCTCTGAGAAATTTCTGTAAGGGTTGGATGTACTCACAGAAATTTAGCCTTTCTAAATTTGGATCTATGAAATTCCTCTGTATTCAATCCAACTGAAAAAAAGTAGATGAATATTTTGCAAGCTCCTTCACTCACTCCCAAGGTAGGAAGATGAACTGGATACACAAAGGTCAAGATGACCTCTTCAGAAAGAAAAATGTGCTGCCGATCATAGCAGGCCAATGAAAATTCCCTCTCTTTCTATCCTTCCTAGTCTACAAGAATTCATGCTTAAGGTCTTTAGGAATTTTGGAGTCCTTTGTGGCTTTCCCTGATAACCGTTCTCTGAGCTTTCTTCAGACTTTTGTTTGAGATTTTTGGAATCCACCCACCTTCTTCTCAGACAGCCTTCCTTATCTGGAGCTAAACTGCCCACAGACAGACATCAGTGATTAACATTTAGCCCACGCTCAACATCTGCTTGGGTAGGATACAAGCTTGAAACTATTCAACCCCCACGAGCAAGATGAAGGATGACCACCATCCAGGAGTCTTTTTAAAATGATACCTGTTAGCCCATGCAGTTCCTGGTTGTACTTCTGTGTGTCAAGATATAGTGAAAAAGTGCTGATTATGTGAAAGAAAATATATTAGGGCAGAGGGTCACCATGCATGAAACAGGTCTGTGTGGCCATCTGTCCCATAACACAATGTCTTCATTTTTATATTTTCTTTCCTTTCTTTACTGAAGAACCTAGAAATTTTCTTAAAGTTTAAAATATTTATATAATGACTCAATAGGGGCAAGCTAGACATCAATACTAAGGGAATAGGGTATGTGCAATTCTGTGTGGATCCTTATAAATTAAATAAAGGAAAAGGTAACTACAATTATTCCTTTCTTATTTGAGGCAAAGGTGAGAAGGGGAACGCTATGATCTGAATGTTTGTGTCTTCTCAAAGTTCATATGTTGAAACATAGTCAGCAAAGTAATGGTATTAGCAGGTAGGGTCTTTGGGAGGTGATTAGGTCATAAGGGTTCTATTTTCATGAATGGGATTAGTGCCCTTATTTTTTTTCTTATAATACCACAAAGAGCTGTTTTGTCTCTCCCACCATGTGAGGTCACAGCAAGAAAGTGCCATCTCTAAATGAGGAAACAGGCCCACACAAGACACTGAATTTGCTGGTGCCTTATCTTGGATTTCCCAGCCTCTAGCACTATGGGAATAGTTCTCATAAACTGTATAACTCTGATAAATAAATTTCTGTTGTTTAGAAGCCATGTAGTATATGGTATTTTGTTATAGAAGCCTAAACAGAGAACAAAGTCAAACTCATACTGTAGCCTTCATCCAATTTTGTTCTAAATTCCTAGACCTTTTCAAGGTCATAAAAATTAAAAATGTGTTGCAAATCTTAACTTCAATAGATATTTCTTTCTTTCTTTCTTTCCTTGACAGTCTTGCTCCATTGCCCAGATTGGAGTGGAATGGCTCAATCTTGGCTCACTGCCACCTCTGGCTCACTACAACCTCTGCCTCCCAGGTTCAAGGGATTCTCCTGCCTCAGCCTCCTGAGCAGCTGGGATTGCAGGCAAGTGCCACCACACCCAGCTAATTTTTGTATTTTTAGTAGAGATGGGGTTTCACCATGTTGGCCAGGCTGGTCTCGAATTCCTGACTTCAAATGATCCATCCACCTTGGCCTCCCAAAGTGTTGGGATTACAGGCATAAGCCACCACACCTGACCTCAATAGATTTTCTTTAAAAACATCATTGTCTTAGTTGACAGAATGAATCATTATAACTTGAGATGTCTGCATTTTCTATAATAAACCATATTTGTGTTTGTTTATGTCACTCAGAAATATGTATATATTTACATGTATATGAGTGTGATATAATGGCAGCAGTGTGATATACTGGAAAGAGCTAGGAAAACTTCGTTGAAAACTTCTTCCACTTTTAGGTCTTGTGATCTGTCACAAGATGCCAGTCTCAATTTTCTCATCTATAAAACAGATGAGAAAATAATGCTAGCCTTACAGAGTTGTGTTGGCCACATTTCACATGTGGCATTTCCTATGAGCCCAGGAGACATGAAGCACTGCAGGTGATCAGTCCCCACATTGTAGCACTTTGTATTCCCAAACAGAACTACTAAGTATGAGTTGAATAACTCTCCCTAAGCCTTTGCTCACATGTTTGATTTACTACTATTTTAATGTTCTGCTTAAACCTCAAACATCATGCCTACAAAATGCTGATCCAAAGTGAACAAAACCTGTACAACAAAGACCAACATCTCAGGGTTGTCGGTACTAAATCACTGACTAATGTTTAGCTTGGGATATGCTGAAAACCTTCTATTTTTTAAACCTTTTATCAGCTATCTTGATATCATATGATTTATTTTCTTTCTTAGTATAACTGCACATCTCCTTTTCAGTATTTTTATAGTTTTATATCATCCTGTTAGTCTTTTTAAAGAGTCCAACTGTTCACTAATATAATTAATAATTCATTCAGAAAACACTTAAAGACCACCTATTGTATATTGGGTACTGTGCTAGCTTCTGGGGAAACCAAGAAAAAGAAGATCCTTACCTTAAAGGAGCTAGGAGTTTAAGGGTGAAGTTAACAGATAATTTTGATATAGTATTGTTAGCATTTGAAAATTAAGGTATGACCTAGTACTAGAAGCTTAGCAGAGGGGCTGAGGTGAAGAGGGATGGCTTCTGGGAGGTGACGCTCAGGCAGAATCATTAAGATTCAGTAGGAACTAGTCCGGTGTTGGAAAACTGCAAAAGTAAAAGGTACCTAGGGGATGGTAGTAGGCTTGGGCCTAGAGATCTGGGCTTAGCATATCTCTCCAAGGATAAGCTACTTAGTGGTGTGTATAAAAATGCAATTATGATCATCTTTGGTGTATCCATCAACTTTCTGATAAAGACAACTTGGCCTGAAACCAATTTTAAAGAACAAAAATTTTCAAGTTGTTATGGCCATTACTAATTATATTAAGAATGAGCTTCCAAACACTTGTACATCCATAGGGAATATTATGATCTATAAGAATGTATTTTGCTAATGGCTTAGCATATCTCTCCAAGGATAAGCTACTTAGTGGTGTGTATAAAAATGCAATTATGATCATCTTTGGTGTATCCATCAACTTTCTGATAAAGACAACTTGGCCTGAAACCAATTTTAAAGAACAAAAATTTTCAAGTTGTTATGGCCATTACTAATTATATTAAGAATGAGCTTCCAAACACTTGTACATCCATAGGGAATATTATGATCTATAAGAATGTATTTTGCTAATGGAACATCATACCTACTTTCTTATATTACCATAGGACCCAATAAATCAAAGCCCAGGCATGCTCAATACCATGGCCATAGGACTATCAACCTGTGACTATCCTGAAGTGAATGCAAAGTGCAATGCTAGTCTTCAATCACTTAGCAATAAATGGTGAGAAAGTCAATTTCATCTCTGGCCTATTAGATAAGGGCATTAATACATTAGAATTGATTTTCAAAGAATGGAAAAGTAATTTAAAAAAATAAAGAAAAGAAGGAAGGAGTGCCCCACAGAGACTCCTAGATCCTCAGATATAAAGGACTAACCCATTTCCCTAAGGCCTGTTATCCTATAAATATCAATTCCCAATTCCTCCATTCAACCTTATAAATAGTACTCCCTTTGATAATATTTCCCAGGCCAGTATCATAGTGTTTACCAGTTGGGAAAAAAAAAAAAAAAAAAAGTATCAGCATAGAGAGCATACTAGTTTGAATGATAGTAGCTAGTTGTAAAAAGGATTAAGTGTCACACAGCTTTATGCTGAAGTTTTCAAACAACATTTTTAAAAATGAAAGGATACTAATAGGTAGAATAGTCAGATTCTTAGGGAAAATTTTAAAGATGAAGGAATGTGAATTGAGGGATAAGAGATAAATGTTTTTCCTGAAAGATGAACCCTAGTGATGTGTTATCTATTTATTAAAATAAAAACAATAACCTATGTAACAAACCCGTATACGTTCCCCCGAACCTAAAAGTTGAAAAAAATTAAAATAATAATGAGCCTTGGTAAGCACCTTCATTAATTTAAAAAATAAGAGTATGATTGAAACAGACATACTATTAAAAAAACAATTAAAACAAAGATACAATGTACAGTACCACAAGAAAAACATCTTTCAATTTAGTTTATTTTATCTTGGGAGAAGAAACAATGAACCCATCTTTGAAAGTAAATATTAGATTTATTTTTAAAATATTTTACCTGATTTAAATAATTTAGGCACTTTTCAAGACACCAAAGGCAACAAATGCAAGATTTCAGCACACATCGTGCACAAGCATTTTCCTAGATGGGGGAAAAATTGAAATAATCAAAAAACGAAAGAATTAAACTGTCATACAGAAGACTTCGAACATTAGAAAAATAAATAAAAAGTTAAAAATCACAGTTTATGCTTCAAATCCTCCATACTTGTCCATTACCTCCTTAAAATATAATGACTGAATTATTTTTACTCAGTTGAATATTTATTTTGTCTTTATTACATAAAAGATACAGTGAAATTTATAACACCTGCAAGGAGCTTACAATCTAGTAGGAGAAAAAAAATACTAAACACAAAATTGTTAGAATCAGAATATAGTACAGATACTAAGTGTTATGAGAGTGGAGAACAAAAAGATGCATTGTTTGGGAAATGGGAGGAATCAGGAAAGGTTTCTACAAAGGGGTAGAATTTGAGTTAAACTATGTTGAAATGCATGTTATTCCGATGGTCAAGGATAGTGAAGAAGCTCTAAGGAGAAAGGTATGTGAGTCAACAGAGAGGAAGAGCAGCACAGGATACTTTTAGCAATTAGTGATTGGATGAATTTTGCTGGAGCATACAGAGTGCATGACTGGGCAACAAGGGAGAAGGGCTGGATTTCACCTTGTAATGACTTTGAAGAAAACACAACTTTGTATTTAACATTATTTGGTACTTTACTACATGCAGAACTGAGGTCTGGAATGTGCCCACAGAAAGTACAGAAATGCATTTTCCCCTTACCTTTCCTTTGAGCTGACTGTGAATATACATAAGGATCATTCGTGGAATTTTGACTAATGTGATAATGAAAGATCCTTTTGCCACTGTACCAAGGTGGTAACGAATAAGGCGATTCACTGATGCCAAAATAGGTGTAAATGGCAAATTCCTTTTATCCCTATTTTAAAAAATGACCAAAAAGACAATTAAGACAAAGCCTAGATCAGGACAGAAACACAGGTATAGTTTAGAGTCCAATGCAGTGAAAAAAAAAAATCAGCTCATCATTCTTATTTTAGCTTTATGACAAAATTGCCAAGTGATATATAATGAATATAAATGCTACAGACATGCTATATAAAATTAATGTCATTGCTCTACGGTAGTTTTGTGGGGTTCTGATGCTCTAATACTTGAAGTTAAATAAAACTGTGCTCTGAAAGCTTTTATTAGTGAATACTTATGGGGTTAATCATATAATCAGAAAACAGAATTTAAAAAGATGTTCAATATAGAGTTGGAATCTCATTATAATAGAAAACTATGAGGCCTAAAGCTTTTATACTTGGCTCTAAAGTTAGCAAAGGGAACTCACACTTGTTCTGATCTAAAACTAAAAAGACTTGTCCTTTGATTGACTTTTATATAAAGCAAAAGTTCATATGGCACCACTATAAGATTTATTTTTCTGCTAAATACAATTTGTGACATCATAATAAATTTTTTGAGACAACTGCAGAAAGTATAAATAAAACAATAATCTCTCATTTGACCACCTCCCAGAATTATCAACTATATACAACACTCTGTTGTATTCATTTCTAATTATTTTGTTAAATAAATGAAACTCCTACAGCCCCAGTCTGATTCCCTTTCCCTCCAGCCTTGGACACCATCCCTTAGATGAACTTGAGTTTTCTGATAACAACCAGTTCTCACCTAGTAAAATAGTACGTTACCACAGCTCCTGCCACTGTCATCTGCTGACACGCTAGAATAAATTCACTGATCCAAATCAGGCCCACCACATGGTACCACCACATGTACTGCAGAGGCCCAGAAATTTTGAACTCCACAAAGCCCTGGTCATTCTGAACAGCACTGCCTAGGAAAATATCAAGCAAGGAAAGAGGAAGCACATAAAGTACAAACCCAGAAATATGGCAGTTAAATAGAAGACAATATAGGGCCTTATCCCTAGCCACAAACCTGATCCTAGTGCTATTTCATAAAGGGACAAAAATAACTAACACTTGAAAAGTTGTAAAATTAAGAATTGTACTATTATGCATTTTGATGTCCTCAAAGGCATTACATAAAGCTTTTACAAGTTGTTCTATTTAATAAAATTCTTCTTACATTATCAGTTATTTAGTTTAGGTGTGAATTTTCAAACACTTCAAGACCTATTATTTATCCAATCATCATGATATCTTAACAAAGTACAGAAATTAATATATTCAATTGCTGAGTGTGTGTACCGAATGGACAGATAAGTTACACAGTTACATACAAGTTTACTATCCTTATGATACTTTTTGCAATTAGTTTTGTTTAAGCTTACCCTTTGATATTGAGTATGGCTATAAGAAAGTCTGTCTAACTATGAACTATATCATCACTTGGAGCTCTAACTAGGGTCAGATCATTTTCAAACTAGAAAATCCCAAGAAAGTAAGTAGATCCCTGGCTATACCTGGGATGTGAGGTAACTCCTGAGTGACATTGCATTCACTGGTTCATCTTATGGTAAATCCAAATGTCTGTGTCAGTATAGGAATTTACTTCAAATTCATGACCATTTCAAAATTAGAATGCAATTTTAGGCCTTCCCTGATCTAGACTTCCATTGCTAGGATGTTCTAAAAAATCATGAATATGATGAGCTGGGCACAGTGGCTCACACCTGTAATCCCAGCACTTTGGGAGACCGAGGTGGACGGATCACATGAGGCCAGGAGTTCAAAAGCAGCCTGGACAACATGACGAAACCCGATTTCTACTAAAAATACAAAAATTAGCCAGGCATGGTGGTACAAGCCTGCAGTCCCAGCTATTTGGGAGGCTGAGGCAGGAGAATTGCTTGAACCTGGGAGGCAGAGGTTGTAGTGAGCCAAGATCATGCCACTGAACACCAGACTCTGTCTCAAAAAAAAAAAAAAAAAAAATCACGACTGTGGAGTAGGTTATTGAAGGGCCATACCACTGCAAGTTCTGATAGCTATTGGACCTTCATCAACAAATGTCTGAAGAATTACCTCTCTCTGATGTTCTAAAATATTGGAATGCAAACCACGCCTGTCACCAAGAGAAAGGAAGCATATCTTCTTACCGGTAGTGCCAAGAAAAAGAAGTGTCATGATCCAGTACACCCAAAACAAGACAAGAGCAAAGAAAGTCCAAAAGGGTTGGAAGACTAGCAGTGGCAAGTGAATGAAGACCTTGCCAGCTACATGGAACAAGGCGATGGTAAGAGCAACACGTTTGCGCATAACCAACATTATCAGGAATAAGATCACCTGTATAGAGAGAATGGTTTTAGTTATTATTATAAATAGTAAAAAAAACCCTTCATCCTGAAACCTGGAGGTAGCATTCTTTGCATTTCAATAATACTTTATCAGTATATATCTTTCTTGCAGTATTTATTATCAATTGTATATTATGGTTGCCAAGTGTCCTTTAAAGCAAAACATAAAAGGATTTATCAATTTATTAATACGTCCTAGAATTTTTCTCCTTTTCCCTTTGCCACTCATTATGAATCAAAACATATTGTCAGTCAGGATGAGACTCTTAATTTATCTGAACAGATACACCACAAAAACGAGGTTTTTATTTGTATCTTCCTTACTGGACCAAGAACTCCTTAAGAGTGGGATCTGTGTCAGATTCACCCTTTGCCTCCTCCCACCACCAAGTCCCATCTCCAGCAGTTGGCAAAGCAAATTGTACCTAAAATGAGATTATTTCATTCATATTTTGTTGTAATATCTGTATAACAATAACTAACAAATATCTTTTGGCAGCAATGGTTTTATGGCTTTATTTTTTGTTTCTTATGCTCAATAAAAAGCTCATGATTGCTTTGAGAAGTAGACTGATTTTTTTTTTTTCAGAAAGAATATGATGATGAACGAAAGATATACATATAAATTATTTAACCTCATGTTAATTGGTAATTTTATTGCTTAATACCTAAGCAGTGAATCTCACACATATACACACACACACACACACACACACACAAACACATATATATTTTTTGGAGACTAGGTCTCACTCTATTGGCCAGGCTGTAATGCAGTGACACAATCATGGCTCAAGTGATCCTCCCACCTCTGCCTCCTGAGTAGCTGAGACCAAAGGTGTGCATCATCATGCCCAACTGATTTTTATTTTTTGGAGAGATGGGGATCTCACTATCTTGCCCAGGTTGGTCTAGAACTCCTGAGTTCAAGTGATTCTCCCACTTCAGCCTCCCAAAGTGCTGAGATTAAAGGCATAAACCACTGCACCTCGCCACGCCTATATTTTTCAAATAATGCCATACTGTTAAACAAAGAGTTTGAAAGAAAAGCGGGGAAATAATTAGTGAACAAGTGGAATGATATATTTTTTAACATACTTTTCTAAAGTAAAGGGAACCATTTTTAAAAAGTAATTATATTACAACAATAAGAAATATGTAAGCAAATGGTAATGTAAATATTCTAGGTGAAAATCCTCTCTCAAAAAGCAAATGGTAGAAAAAATATTTCATCAAATAGCACATATCCATGAGGGAAGCCTTCAAGAGACTTTTTAGTGTTTCATACATGGTGGGACAGAGATATTATCTACTGGAGATCAGAGTTAAAAATGCAAAAGCTAGAGTTTCCATTTCATTAATGATCTCCTGCAAATAAAAACACAAAACAGAAAGACACACCAAAGCCTATACTCACTGTGAACACTGTGGCTGAAATGGCATAAATGAGGAGGGCCCGAAGATTGTCTTCAGCTATCTGAAGCTGCTCAGGAATAACAGTTTCTTTGGGAGACCTTCTTTGCTTTGCATACAGCCACCACAGTACACCTGTGCCTCCTGGAGACAAAAAACCCAACTGTTACTGCATGAATTAGCATAAGAAAATGTGTAACATAAATCCTTAATTTTCTTGACCCTACAGATCATCATAGGACTAATGCGGTGGCAATCCCTTTGTATGGGAAGTACATAGCTATAACTTTTTGCCAGCATAAAGTAAGTGACCATTACTCTATTATCATCCTTCACAGTAAGCACTTATAAATCCTTCAGTGTATCAAATAAACTTCCTTCAAATGTATTTATTATTGACTATGAAGCTAACAGTGAGCCAGTAGAAACATATACCCCTGAGAGGAACTGATCACAAAGAAAAAGCCTCAGCATTTAGGTTGAGGAGGCTGAAGGAAGGAAATAAGCATCACAGAAAACATCAATGAAGTTTGAAAAGTGCAAGGATCTTCTCTGTTGTACTCATCACAGACACCTCTGTGCCTAGCCCTGACAGAGTCATGAAGTTGATTAAATATTTGTATAATGAATACATGCAAATCAAAAGAATAGTTCCCACCAAAGGGAGAAGGGAGGAACAAAGTGGAAATCTCTGACAGTGGTGGGTGCTAGGGATGAGCATTTTTTAATCTCCAACACTGATTGAGAGATTCAAAGAACTAGACTGAAGAGGGAGATAAGTCTACCTCTATATATGAAAGCTGACTTATGTACCTACGTTCAACCCATTCAGCAAACATTCTGAATGCTACAGCACCTATTGTTCTAGCTAGAGATGGAACAGTAAACAAATCCAAGTCCTAACTCTTGCTGCTCATGGAACTTATATAATAATAGGTAAACAACAACAAAAAAAAAAAAAAAAAAAAAAGAAAACAAGGAAGTATATAGTATATTAAGCCTAAGGAAAAAACAGTCTCATGGTAAGAAGGATAAAGTGTTTGGTTTGGGAAGCTTTGCAATTTTATTTAAGATGGGTAAGCAAGGTCTCACTGGTATTAATAAGATGAAATCTGAGCAACGGAATCAAAGACAGAGCAATCTGTGAAACTATCTAAGGAAAGAGTGCTCCAGGCAAAGGCTTCAAAGAGGCTCAGGTAGAACAATGAATGCCTAGTATGAGGGTAAGAAAACCACTGTGGCTACTGCAATGAGCGATGCGGAAAGTGGTAGAGATGTGGGCGGAGAGGTATCTGGAGATACAATCTGGAGACCACAATCATAAGGCCTTGTAGGTCACAGAAAGGAAATGGATGATTCCAAGTAGAGATATGTGTGTGTGTGACTGATACAATAAATGTCTGGAAGATAAAAAACTGAACTAACGTTGATATACATCAACATCTGCACTCAAAAGTGAATAGCGTCAAAGGAAAATTCCATACCCTAATCGATGGCAAACACTAAGTATAAATTTTTCATCTGTTGAAAAGGAGGAAACAAATCAAAACTACCAGAAATTGGTGAAAAACATTTTAGAACAAGAGAAATGTTTCCATTCTGAAGTCTTGCAGGTACAACAAAATTGTTTGAAAAAATGTTTAATATATTCAGAAAGTGGAAAAAAATATGTTTTCTATAAACAGAAATAAATTATAGAAGAAAAGATTAAGTTAAAAAAATAGAATGAAATTGTAATAATGATGTCAAGGAGGAAGCTATTCACAATAGCCGTGGTAGACATTATTTATTATTAAACATTTAAATTTGAGTTAGGAACTGTGCTAAGTCCTTTATAGATGTGACCTAATTTAATCAACACAACACTATTAATATGTAGAGTTTTAAAGTTTTGTCTAATTCCGAATCTTTTTTTTTTTTTTTTTTTTGAGACTGCGTTTCACTCTTGTTGCCCAGGCTGGAGTGCAATGGCGCGATCTCGGCTCACCGCAACCTCTGCCTCCTGGGTTCAGGCAATTCTCCTGCCTCAGCCTCCTGAGTAGCTGGGATTACAGGCACGCGCCACCATGCCCAGCTAATTTTTGTATTCTTAGTAGAGACGGGGTTTCACCATGTTGACCAGGATGGTCTCGATCTCTTGACCTCGTGATCCACCCGCCTCGGCCTCCCAAAAAGTGCTGGGATTACAGGCTTGAGCCACCGTGCCCGGCCTAATTCTGAATCTTAATTAAATTTGCCTATGATCTTTTGAGGAAATCTTTTTCAATTCTAAAATTTTTTATTTCTGTATTTGATTATTATTTCTGTTCCATTGGTTTTTTTGTCTCCTAAGGTCATTGTTTATTCTTCTGCTATCATCTTCTAAATTAACATTTTACTTTTTTTGTCATTTTCCTTTACCTTCAGGAAGACCTCTTCAAATGTATTTCCAAATAACTGATTTAATTTTCCTCACTAGCAGTTCTGTACTACTTTATGAAAGAAGGACCAGTAGTTCCTACTAAAACTAGTCCAGGAAAACTTAAATGTAAATATAATTATGAAAGTTTTTAAGGCAAAGATAAATAAGATTTTGAAAAAGATACAGCAAGTGAAAGTAATACTTTAATTATAACCCAAGTATTTAGCAAGGGCAAAAAGTGGGAGGGAGGAGAAGAGAGTAGGTATGAAAGGAAGGAAAGTTTATGTTAAATTTAAGGGAGGTAGGGGAGAACTGAACATATATTATTTCTGACTTGAACAATCACAGTAGTCTAAAGAATTTTCTGAAAACAACTGTAGAAGTGAAAATATAATGTATACCATCAAAGCAAGGGTGAAGATAACCAAAGAAAACATAGCTCATGTAGCAAAGAGAGAAAACAAAACAAGAAAGAATGAATTTTAGGAAAAGACAACAGGTGAGAACAGTAAGACTAAACATAACAGTGAAGATTATAAATGTAATGAGGACAAATTCCATTACTAAAAGATTTCATATTCAGCAGGTAAAATTTAACCATATATGTTCATATACATATGCATAGAAAAAAGGTCTGGATTTCAAATGCTAACAGTGATGAAATGGGGGGGGCAAATATAATTATGAAAAATTTTAAGGCAAAAATTAATACTCTTCCTTTAAGATACAGCATGTGAAAATAAATTTTATTTCTATTTTCTACTAAAGTAGTTAAGTACCATGAAAACAAACAAATAAATCGCTTACCAAGTGCACCAAGTATGACCAGAATCGTTAAGATCCACACAAGTACTCTTGATATATACCTGATTATCACCATCAAAATCATGGATAGAACTGCAGGGAACATAGAGAACATACAGAATATTATTTGAAAATGCAGGTAAATACAAAGAAAAACCCTTTCAAGTGTTATTTTTTCCCCCAGGGAAATAATTTGTTGCTACTGACCACAATTTAGATAAGGAAGGAAACAGGCTGCTGTTGTATTTGGCTTTGCTACTTGTACCACTTAAATAGCATCACTCGAAACCAAAGTCACCTAACTGTGGGTTAATAAACTGCAGAAAAAAAAAAAACACATGCAAATGCACATGGTGACTCAAAAACAGCACAAGACTGTTGTGGATTCACCACGGGGAAGACATCAGACATGCAAACATACACGCCAGCACACAAAGTGTAGAGAATGACATGTCATGTTGGTGACAAGAAAAATTACTACACATAGACAGACATCAGTTAAATTCGGTGCTATACTTTATTGAGTAATCTATGTATTTCAGGACCAACTAACTTCTCTGACAGTCAGTCAACAAACTAGATGGCGTCTTATCCTTTTCTAGCTGTTTCTCCTCGAGAATTCCAGTGGATGGTCTGATCCTATGGAATAACATCCTGAAGCCTACTATGGCCAAACATCCTCTGTCTAATTTCTCAACTGAAGTCGGGGGTCCCAGGTGAGGAGACCCTCCTCAAAAAGGAGAAAAGCTGCTTGAGTTATACAGCCAATTCTGCTACCATCTACCCAAGCTAAATCCCACGTGCCATAATCTTGAGTAAAAATCTTAAAGAAGAAAAAAAAGATTTAACCCTCATATGGGAAATACATTTCTGTAATAAAAATTTATAATTTTTAAAATTATGTAAAGGCCCATTCCACAAACAAATGAACAAAGATTTTTAAAGTTTATATTACATTCTTAAGCCTCAAAAGAGAATCATCCTGATAAAAAATAGAATTCCAATGGCTTAACATTTTAGGCACGATTTTTAATTGGATTTTTAGTTTTTTGGTTAAAGTATTCAACTATTTCAAAAACCAAATATTTTTTATATAAAGCTAGACTAATAGTCAAGTTTTTTTGGGCCACTTGCAAAGCCAAATAAATGGTTGGGATTTGTGTCTAGGTAACATTATTAAGGTACTCACTTTTGCAATAAATGTACAGGAACCAAAAACAGATGGGAGCCTTTCAAATATCACAGAAATAGATTTTCATATGGGCAGCATTATTTCAATTGAGTCAAGTACTACCTAAGCAAAAAGAAAATACTCTCTAATGACAGGAAAGATGGAAATACAGCTTTATCTTCTTAATGGTTATAATTGTTAACAGGCATAAATACTGTTTACTTATATCATGAAATAGCTGTTGGTTCCTACCATAGTTAACTTCTCCTAACTAAGAAGGCCTATATATAGTTCTAGATAAGGCTACATATAGTTCTAGAATAATATAGTGAGTTTTAACCTTGAAAATAAAATTTGTTTTTGATTTATTATCTATTTATTGACTAGAAAACTCAGTGGCTAACAGGTGGAGATTTCCTAATTTTTCCAGCAATACATTGATACTATGCACTGCAGCAATGAAAAGGAAAGTGCATACTTCAAAAGTAATCTATCAGAAATCTAAGTTCTTAGATGGGAATACATAAGAGAATATGTAGCCTCCTGTATAAGTAAACCTACCTTTTAGGAATCATAACTAAAAACAGAGGGTTGTTGATTCATTAAAAGAAGCCTCCTGCTATCATATTAAAGTAGGTATAGACTTAGTAACCAATGTTTGGGAAAACACCAGTTTTCTCCAATGAAAGAAAAAAAAAGTAATGAGTTTCAGATATATATACATACTTATATGTACATATTCTTAACTACATATAATCTGAAACAATGATTTTGGCTATGGGAAGTTAAACATTTTACAAGTATCCCCAGTTGTATTCATATTTTGGCTAAAAGACAAAACAGTCTTCTACTGCAATACTATGCAATAGCTAATAATGAGAAAAACAATTACCTAGTGATAACAAGCAAAGTCCCAATATAATTTCTTTGTTGGTCATTACTCCACTAATCAGCCTGTGTAAGACACTATTGTCACTGACAAAGGTGATCAGGGCCTCTGCAAACTTGGCATAGCAGGAAATGTTCACAGGAGCACAGCGATGGAAGAATGGAATAGGTGCACTGGTGACACAAGAAAAAAAAATCAGAAAAAAAATTACTCCTACTTAATATAAATGCCACATCAAACACACAAATGAAAGGTGAATATGGCTGCAATACACTCCACCCTCCACACATTATTATGGGAGCTAAGAGCTGTGTGCTTAATGCTATGAAGATGACTGTCATGGGTAGTGATGCAAATCTTACCACAAGCCTTATCAAAGAGGGTGGAGTGCATGTTCCAACAGAAGACATTACCCTCCCCTTCTGAAAAGAAATGCACGCACACACACACATACACACACAGAACTACCAAAAGCAAAACCAAACACTTAAAACTCCTTAGTCTGCACATCTACCAATCAAGGGGCAGATGACAAAGCTTACAAACATACTTTATTGAACTGAAAATGAATTTTTGCCATAAGCGATTTAAAAATAAAAAGCACATGCTTTTACTTGAAATGTGCCACCATTAATAGTATGTTTCCTCTAACAACACAGCATACAAAATCTCAGATTAATAAAGGTGTTTACGGCATAAGCTTAATACCTCTCAGATAAACAAACTCATGCTGAGACATCAACAAACAGCATAATAGGCAGCTATTTAAAACAGTAACGATGAGTACTAATATATGGAAATGTTGATAATGTAATAATAGAAGAGGAAAAAGTGTATCTAATCATGAGAACAGAAAATATTTAAAAAGTGAAAAATACTGAACTTGTTAGGGTCACAGAATTCTGGGCTATTTTCTTTTTATCAGTTACTATTAATTTAAGATTATCTGTGTCTAAAAGATGCAAAATAACCAATTATTTAGTCATTTGTATTAGGCTTATATGGACTGAAGCTTTTACTCGTGAAAGATTACAGCTATGAGTGAACTGTGACATTAATCTGGTTTGTTATAACACTGTTCAACTTCTGAGAGATTTTAAACAAAGAACTACGAATATGCCTTCGGTTGTGATTTACTTGGATTCTAAGAGAACCATATGCAAGTCCATGCATACACACTTATGTGTGCATTATGTTAAAATTTAGCCATCGCTAACATGAATCCCACATTTCCAGAACTGCTCTTATAACTTTTTTTAATGGTATCCATGAAAATATGTTCATAGAACTTTAAGTCGCAGCTACAACATTTTTGACTGGAATGATATAAATGTGTTCTCATTCTTGGTTCCCACTGTATTGTGGTCCAGCAAGTGAATAAAATTACATGGTTGGGCACTAAAAAGTTTCTAAGCTGAGCTAAGCAACTTTGTATGACCTGATGCAAAACACTATCCTTGTTTCCTTTTTTGAAAAATAATGTGTCTTTTCAAATAAGAGTATAAGCACACTATGTATCAGTTTCCCTTAAATGTTAGTAAATGAACACCATTAGTGGTAAGAATAAGTAACATTTTCCATGCTGTCATAGTTGGTGGAACATTAAAATAATATAATTTTAAAGATTCGGCCTTGCCTCAGTCTTGCTTTAGTAAATATATCCAAAAATGATGACTTCATAAGACATTAATATTCATTTTTTAAAATTGCCTCTTGTGTCCTTGTGTATGTGTGTAAACCTCCAAAATGGTATTATTGAAAGTTAATGCCAAAGGTTTGATATTGTATCAGAAAGTGCAGGAAGCCAGGGCATTCTAAGAAATGCTTGAATTATAGGTATTTAGGTCATTGCTTTTTAACCAAAAAAACCTTCGCTAATGATAGAAAAAAAGTTAAATTATAGAATACCTTTAAGTGAAATAGATTTAGCTAAAAAATATGAGAATCAAAAAGATCAACTCTAAATTCTTTCTTTCTTTCTTTCTTGTTGAGACAGAGTTTTGCTCTGTCACCTAGGCTGGAGTGCAGTGCAGTGGCATGATCTTGGCTAACTGCAACCTTCACCTCCCAGGTTCAAGCGATCCTACTGCCTCGGCCTCCTGAGTAGCTGGGACTACAGGCACATGCCACCACGCCTGGCTAATTTTTTGTATTTTTAGTAGAGATGGGGTTTCACCATGTTAGCCAGGATGGTCTTTGTCTCCTGACCTTGTAATCTGCCTGCCTTGGCCTCCCAAAGTGCTGGGATTCCAGGCCTGAGCCACTGCACCCAGCCTTAACTCTAAATTTCTAAGTCAATAGAAGCTGATTTGTGACAGAAACCTTTAGGCTGACAACTCTGTCATAATGAAATTTCTGATGTTGTCTAGATGCTGTCTCTGCAAATTAATGTCTCTGCCTAAGGACTCTTCTAACCATATTTTAAAACTAAAGCCTGGTGTTCTATCCTTCAAAACTAAAATCCTCTCTGTTTCATGATTATCTATATCTCCATTCTCTTTATTTATTACTCTATCATCTCTGATTTAGTCTCTGTTTAACTCACTTGCCTCCAACCTTGAACATAAAATATATCCACTTAAAGATACCAATGTCTTTTTCTTGTTTTCAAGTACCCACTATTTTTCTAGGCCCAGCTTTCCTGTTTTCTTTTTGCTGCCAGGTAACTATAAAAGCCCCATTTCTTCTAACCTTGCATCCTACATGTAACTCCGTTTCTCTCTTACTTTCTCCATTGGAGTAAGTACTCCGCAAGTCTCTTCAGATCATCATGATCATTCAAGAGGGCACCCATAAATTGATGATCCAAAATTATATAGGAACAGATGCCCAGTATGTTTAGTGTTTTTCTTCTTTTCAAATTTAGGATGAGGAGAGATGATTTTAAAAGAGAATGACTATAACTCTCAAAATAAAAACCCTTCATTTTTATTTAGGAGGAAATGCTGGGTAATATCTGCTCTGAACTTACCCTTTCAAACATTTTTACACTGCTTCTTAACACTTGTCCAATTGGAAAGAGTACTTTTATAAGTATCCTTCAAAGAACTGGAGCAAAATAACAACAATCCTTCACACCAAAATTCAATCTATGTCAGCTAAAAAAAAAAAACCAACCTGACACTCTAAATTTAAAGGTATAAAATTAGCACAAGCTGATTAACTACATTGTCTATCTGTTCCTAGTGGTAAGGAATAACAAAAATAGAAGACAAACATAACAGGAAATAATATGTAGGCACATTATTCAAAAATAAAATAAAATACTTAGCTTTAAAGTAAAAAGCACTAGATTCGCTTGTTTAAAATCTAAACAAACTAGATTTCCTTATTTGTCTTTCTTTTTCTCAACATTTCCCCAAATAATAACAACTCTACCAGGCATAGGGTTTTGATACTTGAATTGTTTTCTTATTTAAAAAATAAATAAATAAACTTCTCACATCAGCAGCACATATACTAAAATTGGAACTATACAGAGAAGATTAGCATGGCCCCTGCGCAAGGATGACAAATTCGTGAAGCGTTCCATATTTTTAAATCAAATTAAAAAAAAAAACTAAGTAATAATTGTGTCATTGAAATGGTTTGTTTTATATTTTAGCATTTAAATCCCAAGTGATTTAATGAATTTAGCTGGAGTTGAACTCACTGATTCCATATGCCTCTGAGAAAATAATATTTCTTAGGAGCCAGTATATGAGATCATTTCTACTTTAGTATCTTACCTAAATGACACATTTTGTGCTTCTTAATTAAAAGGACAAGCAAAAGGTATTCTATATACATTAAGTTTTTCCACCTTTCAAAGCCCACCAAATATTGAATCTTAAAGATGTCAACATAGTCACATTACGAAGTGATGTTGTTTCACTTGCTGAAGCAGTCAACAAGAACAAAATGAATTTATGATGAGCCTTTAAAAAAGTTTTACATTAGTCCCTCATATGAAAATTATATCTTACCTTGGCAAACATATTGTACATTTAACTTTCAGTTCAGAACATCACAGTTAATAAGCTCCTTAAAGTATGATAACAAGCAATGCCTAATACCACTTGTCCATTTGCTTTCACAAGAAGGCAGGAGTCTGTATCTCATAACATTACTTTAGATCCTCAGGTTATAAATAAACAATTACATATGATTTCTAGCCGAAAGTTTTATTTCAGAAAGTATAACAATAAAGTTTTCTGGCAATATCTCTATAGTACCCTAAAGGCAGGAAATATGAGACTAAATATGGATTGGTGTTTCTTTTTTCTCTTCTTTCACCCCTTTTAATACATTTTTATTATTTATTTATTTACTTTTTACAGAGAGATAGGGTCTTGCTATGTTGCTCAGGCTGCTTTGAACTCCCAGGCTCAAGCAATCCTCCTGCCTTAGTCTCCCAAAGTGTTGGGATTATAGGCATGAGTCACCGTGTCCAGTCTTCTTTCACTTCCACACTCTTCGTCGTTGTTGAACTCTGACTGTGATATAGACTACAACATCCTGGATTCAAATTCCAATTTATAACAATTAGTCGTATGGTTTTAGATAACTTAACTGTAACCTCTCTCATCTTCTATTTCCTCATCTACAAATTGGGGGCAATATCTTGATAGGTTTTTGTGAAGGTTAAATGAGATAATGTATATGAGTGATACTGTGGAATAGCTGGCACACAGCAGATGATTTGTAAATGTTAATTTATTCTTGAATCCTCCACTGAAAACCAGGAACAATAACATTTTTTCTTGGCTATTAATTTCTTTCTTTCTTTTTTTTTTCAGACAGAGTCTTGCTCTGTTGCCCAGGCTAAAGTGCAATGGTGCAATCTTGACTCACCGCAACTCTACCTCCCAGGTTCAAGCAATTCTTGAGTCTTAGCCTCCTGAGTAGCTGGGATTACAGGCATGCACCCCATGCCCAGCTAATTTTTCTGTTTTTGGTAGAGATGGGGTTTCACCATATTGGCCAGGTTGGTCTCGAACTCCTGGCCTCAAGCAATTCACCCCCCTCAGCCTCCCAAAGTGCTGGAATTACAGGCATGAGCCACCATACCCAGCCTTTTGTTATTAATTTCTCATCTTTACATTATTGTATCATTAATTTCTCAGAACCTAGTAACCTTTCTGGCATCCAGAGGTACCTAAATACATGAGGAATAAAGTGAATTTATGTAATCTGTTTCTACTATTGCTGTTTTATCTGGCTATTTCTAAAAGCATTGTAAACATACAGGCTAGTTATTCCCTATATTGCTACAATGGTTGGCATTTCACCAATACAGAGTTATGTATCTGGATAAAATACAACTCTTTCTTGGCATTTATTTTTAAAATTCAAAAGCTTTTAGGAATGGTAATTGTCTGGTTATTGTATGTCACTAATACTTTAGTGAAAATTAGTTTACAATTGCTTTTCTCTAAAACAGGTGATGCTTTTAGCTATAGAAGGTCCCTGAATACCCAGGAAGGATAGGCGAAAGGAAGAGGTTCTAGAATTTTATAGAAAGACCTCCTAAGGTGTGTGGAATGGGGCAATGCCCAAGTCTTTTTATTAAAACAAATTTATTCTTATTCTTGGATCCTTTTACTTTGTTTACCTAATACTAAATAGCTCTGGTATTAACAAGATTTGCCTTCTTTTTATCAACTGTTCTCTCCTGCTTTCCAACTGACTTAGTTCAGACAAAAGTGATAGCATACTTAGACTGTGATGTACTAAAATAAGTAAAACATAAGGATCTTTAAACACAGCATACACACAGCATGCAGTCAGTTTTCAGATAGTATAGGTTCAGCACTGCATTCTAGATTAGTGAGATATTAGATGATGATCTTGTTAGGAGCCATTTCTGTCCATCTCTAAAATCTTCTCCCCTAATACTATGCTCTGTCTTCCAGTGAATACCCCTAGGACACTGTAAGATGCATGTGTGCACCAGAAACTGGAAAACCCAATATAACCAGGAACAGACAGTCCTCAATATGGTTGCTTCAGAGGTCAGAGGAAGGAGAGGAGGTGCAGGATGAGCTGAGCTGTCCCACCCCACATCCAACCCCCGTTACAGGAGAGCAGAGACCTCCCTCTCACACCTGGGCTTTCTGGTTATCCTGTCATAATATGCTTTAATCTTGAAAGCATGATTCTATACTCAAAGTAGATATTTAAAACAGACTTTACTACTTGGGTACATAAGGGTATAGAGCTTTTTTCATTTTTATATGGATAAATTTTCTCCTAAGACTTTTCAAAGAATCTCCTTTTCTTTACTGCCACAGCCTCCCTAATATTCTCAATTTTTATGAATGCAATCTCCTTACCTGTTGGTTTAAGGCCATAATTTGTAGGTCTTTCTTACTATCTTTTAAAATAGTCTTTTTATTTTTATGTCTACAGGCTTTAAATTTTGATTTTCAATAGCAACTTCACAAGATAAATGAGCTAAAAATATATTTAACTGATTTTTTCTACTTTCAACAGAAAATTTCAAATTCAAACTAATAAACCCAAGTTACACCCTTAAGTAATCCGAAAGAAAGTAGACATGAGTCCCCCAAATTTTTATACAACAGCTTCTCTAATATATTGAGATACAATAAAAGTGGCCTCAAGACAATTTTCCTGAAGAAGTTGACTGATGTTACACACAGTTGGCAATATACACTCAGGTGGTGATCTGACCAACACTCCAAAGTTTGTGGGTGTGTGTGCGTGCACGAGCGCATATACAAAAATATACACATACGCATATACATATACCTACCTAATTCTGAGGATATATTCTACAATGTTTGATAATTCATTTCCTTTCAAAAATCTATTTATAATGTTAAATGTTGCTTTACTTATAACTACTTTGAGATCCTTCCAAAGAACATTTCTTGTTTCATCTTTGTATTACGCACAGTAGGTACTTAATAATAAATGTTTGTTGAATAAGACACAGCAAACAACCTAATACGGAGAATGTTACCTAAAAAATACAACCTGAAAGAAACCAAGGGGAATAATCACTGGCATATGTTCTAAATTTACAAAGTAAATAAACAATCCCAGGAAATATTACTGGGATCAATTCAAAAACTCTTTGGAGATTATGAAAGTTGGTTTCTGACTTTGTTGCAGATTTTACAGCAATTCAGTGGTTTTGTGTACTTAAAAATTATGGCATGAAAATAAAAACAAAAAAAGCAAGCCCCTAAAAGAAATTTAAAATAACCCAGAACACAAAAAGTTGGTTGTCTATGTGTTGTTTTTAAATATGAAACAAATCATGTCATTTCTATTGCTACTTTAAAATTTTTGTTATAAAAGTATTGGACCTGGCCAATAGGTATCATCAAATGACTGTTTTCTCAGAATAACATATATTGCTTAAAATTTACCTACAAAAACAAGTCACAAGTTAACAACTTTGTAATAAAATTTACCTCGCTGGAACTGGTAGTTTTGGGCAGAGAACAGAAGATTTTGAAGATGTAGTGTATTCAGAAGGCTTTAGGTTGTAGCTACATAGTGCTGAACCTGTTAAAAGAAAAATTATATGTCAGCTGGCCCAACAGTCTGAAAAAATTCTCTTACAGATTCATTTTATTTTGTATTATTCAACATATGCAACTTTCCAAACATCATAGAATTCATAAAAATCTGATTTGATCTATATTATCAGTCTTCAATCATTTAAAACTGATTCTTCTCTAGAATTACTATTAATGTAATTGATGTACAAATTTTAACTAATATTAAAGGTAGTAAGTACTAGAACTACCTTTATTGAATGTCAGGTTCTCTGCAAGATGATATTTATGTATTATAAAATTTACTATAACTCTATAAGGCAGGTTTTATTAAGCTTACTTTAGAGAGAAGGAAATAGAGGCTAAGATATAAGGTAAATAACTTGCCTAAGAACACAGAGCTAGTAAGAGTAGAGCTGGTATTAAACACCACATCTCTTTGACTACAAAGCCTGTACTCAACTACACACTATGTCTATCTTTCCTATGCTTTCCATTACTAAATGTTTACAATTACTGCACATAACACATGTAAAATCAGATAATACGTGAGAAGAAAAAAAAGCAGGAAAGCAGGAAAACTGTAAGGGTAGCAGGAATCAATTCTAACTATAAATAAACTGAACAAATTTATAGAATTGATAAATATGAGTCCTAGTTTTCGGAGTGTAAGATTCTAAAGCTTACATTCAACTTTAGATTGGTTATGCAAAAAACCATTAATCTTTCTGATTATATGGCCAACACATATCTAATGAATGTAAAATGTATATAATGTAAAGTTTATGTACTACATTTATATATTATATAATTCAGTATAACTCTATAAGCTGGTATTATACATTTTCTTAAAATAGAAAATTGAGATGAATACAGTCCACTAAATCCTATATGTCTTATTTTACTGACCTGCTAATTTTAAAATACAGCAACTAGAATACTCGAAGGTTCATTGTATAATATATTGTTAAGTGAGGAGACTTAGGCTCCAGTTCTAATTTTGCTGCATTTTATCACATAAACTGTTTATATGTTATTAACTGATATTCCTACCAGATTACTAATTTGGTCAAATACTTTATTCTTAAGTAAACAGAATAGCTTTGTATTTGTATTATGATAATTAACTTTTATATTATACCACCATGGAAAAAGCTTAAAATATAATGTGAACAGCAGACTGCAACACTGAGTTAATTGTGGAAAAGGCATGTAAGCATATGAGAAAGAACTGTAAGGGAATATAGAAAAAAGACTGATTTAATGATACAACAAAATTGGGAATATATTTGTTTCATTTATATCTTGTCCTATCAATCAAAATTAATTTTTAGAAAGGTAACCATTAACTGAGCAATGCTGCCCCAAACCAGCAAAAATCCTAAGTGTTTAAATATGTGAGCCTTAACAGCATACCAAAATAAGCACATGTAGCATATATTTTATATAAAGATAGTCCCACTAATTTGACAATGCAAAATATTTTTAAATAGATAATTACAAGTTACGTGGCAGTTCTTCAAGCTTTTTAAGGTTAAGATAGCCTCAGTAAGAAACTAAGTTTTAAAAAATGTGCTTGACTATTCTTTTCCATTTTAACAATCTATTTTTTTAAAAAAGGCTAAGCATGAATATTAAATATTTAACTCTTCTAAGAGTAATGTCTTTCATGCTTGAATATAATGCCACTAGATTACATTTATAGCAATTTTGCAGAAAACATCACAATAATGGCAAGAAAACATTTTAGACTAATCCTCAAATAGCTAGGAGTCCTAGTACAGAATTGCTTATGAAAAATAGCAACTGTGTCAATAAGTGCAGAGCACCCAATGTGATCATCAACTTCCTGATCTGAACTGTCAACTTACTTCTTTCAGAGTCCAGGATGGAATTGACTTGGACAAAATAAAAGGCCCTAACTAAAGCACTTTGTGTCAGTGCTGCCAAACCCACAGCTTCATCTGAATTCAGTTAGCATAATCTCTATCCCCACCCTTTCTTCATTTAAAAAAGGAGGTCAGCAGGTGCAATGAAGTTCAATTTTATAAATATTTTCCCAGGATAATACTCAATGAAAGGATAATAGCCTTATCTCTGATGGTATTCCAGGAATAGGCCAGTACTAAATAGATCCTGTACTAAACAGATTAAATGAAAAAGATCTTTACAATGTGTTAGTAGTAATAATCATAAGAAATCTTATACTGCTTCCTACTCAAAGGGTTGATGAACAGAGAAGCCTCAATGAAGAACATTAAAACGGTGCAGTAATGGCAAAGATTTTACAATTGTATTTCTTTCATGTTCATTAGCTAAGGCATTTTCAGTGAACATTTTGAAGGTAGAATCTGTTTTATTTTTTTACAGTGAAAGTATAAATAATACTTAGCACACAAAGTTTGGATATAACTGGTAAGACGAAGTTTTCCTTCTAATGCAAAAGCAGGTAAAAATTATAAATGAGTAATGAAAAGCAGAAAACTAAGAACAAAAGCTTATCTAAAGCACACCAGAGGCAATCCACGCAACTCAGCCAATGTTAATCAGACTATCAAAATGAGTGAGCTGAGAAACCCTAACTTTAGTGTAAAAACATTTATCATGGTAAATGGTTGCTATGGCCCCCAGAATGTTTAACTACTACAATTTTTCAAATGCTGTATAAGTCAATTATTTACTCTTTATTTATTATTCTTTAGCTCAGTATCAGTTATATCGACTCCCCTAAGAGGTACATTTCCATCACTACACTCCAAATATTACAGACGAAAAATGAAAAAAGTAATACTTCCAAGGCCTTAAATACAATCAGTGGCATATTTAGAAGTGGAATTCTTTGCCCCTAAGCTGCCATGCTTCCTTTGTGCCATTCCTAATACTCATAATTGGGCAAGTATTCAATAAACTCCTAGGCAAAAAAATATATATACATGTTCTGCAGACACCCCAAAAAGAACATCTCTGGAGAAAAATTAGTTCCACCATGTACTTTTCTGCCTGTATATTTTCTGTCCTGGTTAATGGTTCCATCATCTGTGAAACATACAAGTCATCCTACATCTTTTTTATTTACTGTCTTCCTATACCATTCAAGAGATACTGCATCCTGAGGATTAGACCTTCCTATGTTATCTCAGACTTTCATGATCTCCTACTGAGTCAGTTAAAATACTCTTTTAAAGTGTTTCTCATCTCCATCCTGCATATAACCATCAGAATGGTCTTTGTAAAATGCAAATTAGTCATACTATATACCTCTATCCTCAGGATGAAGTCCAAACACTCTGGAATCAAGATCCTTCTAAAGCAAGTTTCTACCTAAAACTCCAAACTCATCTTAACATAATAAACTACTTGAAATCAATGCTTGCTGTTTAACAAGCTTCCAGGCTTCCACATATGCTGCTCCCTCTGCTTGCTCCATTCTTTCCCAGCTAGCACCTGAGCATTAATGTCTGAGCAGAATTTCTACACATTATTCAAACTTCATCTCTTCTGTCAAGCCTTCTCTGACCCACCCAACAAAGCTATTTACTACTTAGCTCTATGATAAAACATGACATATGCTTTTGTAATTTTTTTATTTATATATTATCTCTGTTTTTGTAATGCAAACTCTTTGAGAACTTGAACCTTATGCCTTTGGAATGTCTGGAATCTATATTTCCTGGTACACAGATGTCATCCAAAAGCTTTCTGTTGAATAAAACAGATATCCTGAGTGGGGAAAAGATAAAATACTTGTTTTGAATCTATTATGTTTTGTGTTATGTACAATGTTCAGATGCTTTTCACCATTTGCTACAAAGTATACTATATAAAACAAGTTCCTCAATCTTGCTATTATGACATTTTGTGCTGGACAATTCTTGGTTGTAGGGGGTTGTCCTGTGCATTGCAAGATGTTTAGCAACATCCCTGTCTTCTATCCACTAGATTCCAGTAGTCTTTCCCTAAGCTCTCACCACAGCCAAAAATCTCTCCAGACATTGCCAATTATCTTTGGGGAGGCAAAAGCACTCTTAGTTGTGAACCAACGGTTTAAAACAGCACCTTATTTGAAATAAAGATACAAATCCAAGAGTTGCTATGTCGAAGGCTAATTTTTCTTGCTTTAAAATTTTGTTTAATTTACCACCACAATATTTGTATGATAGATTAAAGAAGAAATATTCTTTAAAATACGATTTAGAAGTTTGAAATTAATAGAAGAGAGCACCTCTCAATGCAGAACAGTTTTTATTATGAAAGATTTCCATTGCCTTGTGATGTCTAATGAATTTAACCTCTTTTTCTCTAATTAGGAAACCACTATTTATATGCTGAGAGAATGGAAGATAATTTTCCAATTTTAATTCCTAGTAACCCATGAAAAATATGGGCATATTTGTAACTCCCAAGAAGTATCCACCTACAGAAATTATCCACGTAAGAATGTGGCATCATCTGTCAACCACTGTTGGCACATACGAGGCACACATAATAAATATTTGCTGAGTGAATTAATTTTGAACATCCACGTACAAGACTTCTACTACATGTTGTGGAGGATAAGGAGAATTCTGACTCCACTATACTGCAAACTCCTTACATGTGGGCACTGTACTTTGTATCTCTGATGCATATTTAATGGGTACCAAGTATTTGTTGAATGAAAGAATTAGTTTAAACTGCATTATCAAATATAAGAATTTGCCTTCTTTTTAAACAACCAAGCATCCTTGCTGATCTCTGACTTGGGGGCAATTCAGTTGCTAGAGTTGATCATTTCATTCATTTATAAATGATATCAAGTCAAATCTTTTGACTTACTGTGCCAAAAAGAATACATAATTAATCTAGAGTTTAAATGTTATTGATACTGACTGGTAAGAAAAAGGGTAATATGCTGATCATCTATTGATACTGTCTCCAACAATCAGATAACAATAATCAAAAGATTTATTAGTATTCACAACTAGCATTATCTGAATGGACCACACAATCAGTTAAAGTTTTTAATGG